CAAAGGAAATGCAGAACTTGCTTTCATCAGAAAACATAACTTTGGACCACTCAGCATCAGTCCAGTCCTTTTTGTCCTTGGCCCAGGCGAGACGCTTCTTGCGCTGTTTCTTGTTCAAGAGTGGCTTGACACACGGAATGCGACACCTGAATCCCATGTCTTTCATGAGTCTCCTCGTGGTGGTTCTTGAAGCGCTGACTCCAGCTGCAGTCCACTCTTTGTGGATCTCCCCCACATTTTTGAATGGGTTTGTCGTCACAATTCTCTGCAGGGTGCGGTTATCCCTAGAGCTTGTACACTTTTTTCTACCACATTTTTTCCGTCCCTTCGCCTGTCTGTTAATGTGCTTGGACACAGAGCTCTGCGAACAGCCAGCTTCTTTAGCAATCACCTTTTGTGTCTTGCCCTCCTTGTGCAAGGTGTCAATGATTGTCTTTTGGACAGCTGTTAAGTCAGAAGTCTTCCCCATGATTGTGGTGCCTTCAAAACAAGACTGAGGGACCTTTTAAAGGCCTTTGCAGGTGTTTTGAGTAAATCAGCTGATTAGAGTGGCAGCAGGTGTCTTCTATATTCAGCCTTTTCAGAATATTCTAATTTTTTGAGATACCAAATTTGGAGTTTTCATTAGTTGTCACTTATGAATATCAAATTTAAATGTAATGAACATTGGAAATACATTGGTCTGTGTGCATTGCATGAATATAATGTACAAGTTTCACGTTTTGAATGGAATTACTGAAATATTTTCAACCTTTTGATGATATTCTAATTTACTGGCCAGCACCTGTATAAAAACTAACTCTGCATCAGTCAGACGCAGCAAAGCTCACCGTCTGTATGAGCGTGAGCATCGGAAAGCTGATAAAATCGGCTGTAAAATAATTAAAACAAAGTAAAAATGCTCCTTTGCTTTTTACAGTCCACATCCAGAAGGCTAGAGCCGTGTTTCACTGACAGGCTGTCAGACTAACGCCCTGATGAGCTCAGCTGGGACAAACTGGTCTGATGTTTAGGTTAGTGAAGATCTGCTTCTCCAAGTCCTTGAGATGCTAGTAAAAAATAATTTAGCCAGCTTGCTAATGTTACTTTTCTTCTCCTCTAAGGAACACAGAACGTTCAGATGTTGGAGTTTCACGTCACCTACTGAGGAAGGAGACGCACCAGTAAAGAGACGGTCTGGACCAGACCAAAGTGAGTGATGACACACCTTAGCCACCCTCATCATTAAGAACACCTCACCCCCTGAATCACTCCGTCTGATGACAGCAGAGTGATTTATTTGATGTTTTACTTGTTTAGTCTGTTTAGAAATAATTGATTTACATTATTTTCTGTAATCGACCTTCTGATCTGGATGTGTGCAGAATAACTATCCCCAAATTCAGCAGCAGCTGGCCTACAAAAACAGCTGCAGCATGTAGTAAGTCTGTCTGCACTGCTCTCTGAGCTTCCTTTCATAAGGAGTCATTTGTATAATTTTAGTGTCACTATTTTATTACATTTGTAAGAATATGAAGTCACTGCAGCAACACAAACGTGACTATAAACATGAAAGCTAAAGAAACAACTTTCCTAAAGCTGCTTGTAAACAAAATATGTCACTAATGTTATTGTCTATCATTGCAGAATATGGCAATGACATCATTGAACTGGTCTTTGGAAAAGTTTTCCCTGAACCAACTCCGTTTCTAGATGAGGTAGAGAAGACCTGCATCTCACCAACCCTCTGGTCTCAGTATTCAGACAACGGAGGTCTCCCACTGTTATCCAGGACCAGTTTGAAGCCCACATACTGCCCCTCCCTCATCATCAGGAAACATCAGTTCCTATCCTGAGGACAACAGAAGACGGCAGGAGGACAGGAACTCTGAGACCTAGACACCACCAGCACCGAGACACAAAGCACCTGTGTGCACAACGCCTGTTTAACTACTAAAGCCTGTTTATTATATTGTTCTACTTATTTGCTGTGAGGTTAATACTTAGAAAATTTGTATATTAATGTAAACAATAAAAAAATCACGGATTGTATGTTTTCTTTTAGATGTAATGGTCCAAACTCAGCCTTGTAGACATTTATTGCATCCTGTAGGTAAATACACAGAACAGGCTCAGATCCAGGATGGCCCAGCATGCTCTTCTTCCATTCTGGCTGTTAGGGATTGTATCAATAACTCGATGCCTACTGATGTTTCCACCTAACGGTATTTATTTAGAATGCAGGTAAGATTTAACTATATTTGTTAGCAAAGCAGACTGATCTTGGGAATTTCACTGCAGCACTGATGTCCACCTCTGTGTACACATTAGAGAGAATTACCACTTTACAGTTAAACACATTTAATAAAGATATAGGCTACGCATTGCCGACAATAAAAACAAAGTTGTAAGCATTAGAATTATAATGATCACATTAAAGAACATTTGGAGGAATGTTCTTTATTTTTGACTAGAATCTCAAATCTTTAAATTAAAATGTAACTGCTTTTTATCCATTTTCAGCCATTAAGACACCCAATATAAAATAAGACTACTTATAAAATTATATGTATGTATATATATATATATATATATATAGATAGAGATCTTAATAAAATATATTCTTTTAATGGTGTTTTAATAGCTGTATCATTTTTTAAAACATTTTTTATAGAAATAAGCAAGCAGCATTCCGTGTGTGTGTGTGTGTGTGTGTGTGTGTGTGTGTGTGTGTGTGTGTGTGTGTGTGTGTGTGCGCACGCGCGCCTGCTCGCTTGTCCTTCCGTCGGCTGTGACGGATGTGTGTGTGTGTGTGTGCGCGCGCGCACGTGCCTGCTCGCTTGTCCCTCCGTCGGCCGTGACGGGTGTGTGTGAGTGACTACAGACAAATGCATGAGAGAGTTAGCAGCCATGAAACAGCCTGATGAACAACTCTCCCCACATGTTTTAAAAATGCTAATATAATGTTTCTGCTATGCTAAATAATGATTTCTCTATAGAACTACAAAGTCCGACTGGGGGAGGAGAGTACATGTCTGCACTGTGGAGGGGGGCGGAGTTTACAGCTCCTCCTCCAGTTTAAAGAGACAGTACCCAAAAACGGCTCGTTCTCAAGACTCTCCTCAGAACAGGGGTAGATGAGGGTCTGTAGAGCAACAATAATGAGGAAATCAGACCAAAGAACTGCAGTTCCACTGTATTTAGACCCCAACTGAAGGATTTAGATGTAAAAAGGAATAACTTAAAAGCATGTTATGTCTCCTTTAAATAATAAGTAAGAATGTTTTCTCAGCGATGCTGCTCTCTACAGCAGGGATTCCCAAAGTGTGGTGCGCGAGGTGAAAAGTGTAATGGCTGCGGAGCTCAGAGAAGTCTGTCAAAAGTCACCATTAGCGTAGCCAGAAACTCATTTGTGAGTGGGCCTAAGAAAATATAATTGAAAACAAGTATTTTTGCTTGTGTGTGTGTGTGTGTCCTCCCCACATGCCCTAGCTCAGGGGTCGGCAATCCGCGGCTCTGGAGCCGCATGCGGCTCTTCCATCCATCAGATGTGGCTCTCTGTGCTTGTAAAATAATGAATGGATATTTAAATAAAATGCTTTATATTTTACTGCATTAATTTTACATCTGTATGCCAATTCTAAATGTAAAGATTGTCTGCGTAAACCTGAACAGTTCCAACCCGGTCTACTGTGTGACCGGGTTGACGCGTCACTCTTGTGCGTAATCATATATGCTTTCTGAGCTGACGACGATGTGAGATTCTGGGACTCTCCTCAGACGCCACATTGGAGACAGGAACAAGCACAATTCAGCCAAAGTTTCATCATCAGGGAACATTTTCTAAGTGACAAATCTCTCTGAGAGACCGGGTTTGGAAAACTCTCGCTTCAGTGGAAGGAATCTTCCTGCATGCGCTCTGGTTCTGCGATGCGCTCCAAGCCCCTCTCCACATCTTCAGCTCGCTGTGCACCTTATGTACACGCTGACAGTGAGCTGCGCTGAGCGGTGTACAGCTCAGAAGTTCAGATGGGAATCTGTTCTTGAGTGATTTAGCTACATCTGCGATGTGCGTAGAATAAAATGTCAGTTCGTCTCCATGCGTCGGGGTAATTCTTTCTATTCTTTCTCCGTCAAAATAAACGGCCAAACACAGGAACTGTCCGGTCAACACAAGCCCTGCTTTTAACTGTTCTGTTTTCTTGTGAAAATAGATAAAATTAAACTTGATTAACACCAGAGCCAGGCGCACTGCGCCGTTATCTCTGTCGCTGTAAACGAGGGAAAAACAAAATGATCGGATCCTTTTCTGACCTTCCCCACCTACAAAGTTTAATTACAAAAATCAAACGTGACAGAGCCTGGATTTGTATTCTGAACAGTCTAAACATGTTTTAAAAGAAACGTATGACAAAAGTGGCACCTGCTCAGTAAAACCACCAACAGGGTGAAAAATATCAACATATTGTCGGCAGAGACGGGCTACAACTTCTGGATCCACTTTATATAAATCGTTTTATTGATTATCGTCTTATGAAAGATAACTTTGACATACACGAGCGACCGGTACTGGCTGCTGTCACCTGTTGTGAGCAGCGCTCTGCTGTCTGAGGGTAGGCCCCGCCCACAACGCCGCGGCTGCTGCGGTGTTTTCTTTACTGTGGGAAACGGGTAATAATGGCTCTTTGATGGAAACAGGTTGCCGACCCCTGGTTTAGCGTGACGTCTGATTATCTCTATCTATCTATCTATCTATCTATCTATCTATATCTATATCTATATATATATATATATATATATATATATGGCTATATAAATATATATAGCCATGCCCTTTATATAGCCATGCCCTGATGTGGGGCTGGGGGTGCGTCAACATGGTCGGGACAGAGAAGGGGGTGCGCGGCTAAATAAGTTTGGGAACCACTGCTCTACAGCGTAGGTAGGTAGTGTATGGAACCTCACACTGGTTTCTCAGTATATGCAGACTGTTAGAGTGAGTGGACTAAAGAGGGGAGTACCTGAAGGTCAGGGCAGGCCCACTGCAGGTCCTGGATCTTGCCTTGGATTTCGATGAGTCGCTGGCGTTCTTCGTGCAGCTGCTTCAGCTCCTGCTTCTGCTGACGCAGCTTCTCCTCATACAGCTTCTCCCTGGTAGGGAAAACCAGAGCAGCTATGATGCAACGGAAATTAAATCCACAAAGCTGCAAATAAGTCGCATAACCAGTTTGTAGAGTAACAGCACAAACAATGAGGCCAGCTGGTCTCAGACCTGGCCTTGCTGGAGCGGGCGACATCTCTGGGACTTTTTTTGGAGTGGTCCACCGGCGTCCCGGATATCGGAGCTCTGGTATTATTTGGCTGTTGGTGCAAAGCTTCATCCTCATTAGCTGTTGTTCCATCTGTGTCATCACTCTGCAGATAGAAGGACTGCCTCAATTTTTTTCAAAATAATATTCAAAACTAGAGATTGTGCATGACCTTTGCTCTGTTTAACAACCACTTACTGATCTCTTCTCTGAGTGGCTAAAATAGACTAAGTAACCCTGAAATTGAAACATGACAAACTCTAAAAATAAAAAACTCTTCTGCATCTGATGACCATTTCTGCCCACCATGAAGGATTCTGAGGTCTCTACCTGAACCATGGCCACCAGCTCCTGCAGCTGCCTGAGTTTTTGCTTTGCCGTTTGTCGATGAAGCTTCGGAGTAAGTTCTGCATCATTCCCGAGGCTGCTCCTTCGGCTGGACTCTGACACACTGTCTGGAACCAGAGCCTGTGCCCCTTCATCGTTATCAACATAATCGTCCTCCTCATCTTCATCCTTCCCCTGATCATAGGGTTGGTCCCTGTTGTACTGGCACTCTGAATGGGAGCAAAATCTGGTTAAATCACACCTTTAATAGAAACTTTACATTGGTATTCATCTTTTTCCCTGATCCACTCAGAATAACTGATCCTTCGTTTTTTAAGCAATGAATTGAAAAAGCAGACCTATGGGTGTGGCGACGTTGAGGCTGCGGAGGTTAGCTGCTGTCCGATTGTTGATCTCGCACTCGGTGTTGAGTCGGCCATTGCGATTGTTGGTCGTACTAGCCCTGACGCTGCGGCCGTTAGTCAGGCTGTTCAGGTCTGCCCAGTTCCTGCTGCGCTGTGGGTTTCTGAAGATAGAGATACAGTCTGGCTATGATACTGGAACCAGCTCAGAAAAGCAATTCAAGTTCTTAATTTACACACACCTGATGTTGGTTAAATGCTGACGATTCTCTTGCTCTGAGTCAAAAATAGTTTCAAACATAGATCCATCCTCAGTCTCATCCTCCTCCTCCTCATCGTCAACCTCTTTCACATTTTCATTGACGGCATCCACCATCATGTCAGAAGTCTGCTCATAGTACTGAACCAGTTCTCTCAGCTCATTCAGACGCTTATGGACCTCCTTTAGCTTCCTATGGGAACATATGAAAGAACTGTCACTGTACTGGGTTTAATTATGATGGTCATGTGACACATTAGAATAAGGCCCTCCCACTTCCTGTGGTTCAAGTACAGAAAAACATGATTTTGTGATGAGGTATTAGTATTTCAACTTTACTCTAATGAAACATGCTGCTGATAAAGTGTGAAAGAAAATAAGATGAAGTACTTGGTGTTATGATACTAAATCAAGATTTGACAGCAGTGTATTGATTTTCTAGAGAGAATTTACATGAAAATATTAACACGTTTTACTGTATTTCGTTGGTGTGGTGCAGTTCAAATCCAACTGCTAGGTAGCAGCATTTTTACCAACTTCGTTCTGACAGAACAACAAAATCTCTTGGAAGCACAGACATCGTATACATAGGTGCTAGGTGGACTGGTGCTGCCTACTGGAGCTGGCGTAGCAGAAGGCCGCCATTTTGGATGGGTCCCCATTTATTTCTACTTAAGAATGCGCTTGCCTAACTAAAAACACATTTTATTATGTTTTTCACATAGTGAAGTATGGCACGACAATTAAAATACAAACATAATTAAACTAAATAAATTTAAATATAAAATCCCAACAGGTAGGCTAGTCAATAGTCGTCCCACGTGATCTGTTTAATAGTACACCCGTTGTTAGCATAGTCATAGTAGCTCACCCCGTGTTGGCTCCAGTTGGGTTTAGAGTGTAACCCACCCACTATGCCAGCAGCACAGTTACGCTCTCCAGCGCCCAACACGGCGTGTACATATTCATGTCTATGCTGAGAAGTGTCTAACCAGAGTTTTGCAGTTATATTCAGTCTAAAAAATTGCATATTTCATCTGGCTTTTAGGGTTGTGATCTATCGTATCGTGTCTCCTGTACTGTGAAATATATGGTATTGCCAGATTCCTGCCAACACACGACCCTTACACTGTTCTGACTTTGCGTCTTCTTTAAAATGTGTGTATGACTTATTTGTACCGAAGCTTGTTGGAGCTCGAGCCATCCTGCCGTTGTGTGGGCAAAGGCTGAAAGGAAGTGGACGCCATGGCTCCATTAGAGCAGAGGACAGATGGACAATCTGAAGATCCTTCCATACTTGAACTGCAAAGTGCTGACAAGCCACGGCCTGAAAATAAACAAGCAGTTCATCAGCACCATGCACTGGCCAAAGACAAACAGAGGTTGTGAGAAGGGGGGTTTAAAATAAATCCTCCTACATGAGTTATTGTTTAGTGTCTGGTCTCTGAGTGAATGCAACTCTCGTAGAATCTTGTCCATTGTTTGCTTTTTGTCTTGGAGTTCTTGTAGCTTAGTGAGTTTGGCGCTGGCTGCAGTAGTGTCCGTGTCTAGACCGGTGTGCGGGCCAGACGCAGAGTGAAGGAGGGGCCGGTGTTGAGGTGGACCAACAACGTGGGGGGTTCTGGGCCAGCCAACTTCTCTGGAGAGGGAAAGACTCCGTGCCTGGTGACGGTTATCTGGCACTGCTTTGGTCTGCAGGAGAATTTTTAGAGTTTAAAAGCCTTGTCAATAGAATGTCAAAGGTTTTTATCCTGATGTTCAGGAGACATCTCCAACTATTGATGTTAACGTTACAAATGAAATCTACTGATCTTCAACACATATTTCCCACAGCAGATTATATCGTTATCTAGATGACATAAGGGCTAGTTATGGATTTTGTGCTGATCTTGTTTTAACTGTACCTGAGAGTCATGTAGCTGTTTGTGGAAACGCTGGATCAACTCATTTAACTCATCATTCAGTTCTGATGTTACGCTCAGGCCGGAAACACTGTTAGTAGTTTCTGTGACAACTAAAGTCAACAACAGTTTTAAAAGCAGAAAGACATCGGAGAAGCTTTTGTGATGACTCGTTTCTTTTGTAACATATTACGGCAAAAAGTGTGTATCACTCACCAGCGTCTTCAATCACAGCAAGTGCATGTTCTGCACTGCGTTGCATGGCCATTAGTGCTTCCTGCCGGCCCTGCAGGGCCCTGAGCTGTTCTTGCTGCTCAAGCATCTTCTTCAGCAGCTCGTGCTGCTTACGTAGGTTCTCCAACTCCTCCCTCTGATCAGCACACACAGCTTCTGGCCTGTCACCCTACAAACGAAACCCCACGTGTCAGCAAAACCAATATGCCAGCAAGAACGCTACGTCAGTGGAGAGGCTGATAAGGAAATTGATGAGAGGTGTTAATAAAAAACACATTTAGTGTTCCTTAACCTTCTTTTCAAAATATTAATTCGTACAGAATAAAGACTGAATTAAAAAGTAAAACAGAGGCTATAAAACAATAAAGCTAAGTTAATAATTTTATGCCAATAGTTCATCACACATGTACTTAACTGTTGTGTTTGAAGTGTCTAACGAACGGACCTCTGCGTTAAGAGAAGCGCTCTCTAACGATCCGGAGCCGACTGCAGCGACCAGGGTCGCTCCATCACCATCATTCTGCTGAGCCTGTTAAAACAGACGCACTCATGAATGAATATAAACTCGAAATGTGAAAGAATAAATGAAATAAATAAATAAAAAGTTTATGTGAAGGAATATGGAGGAATTATTCAAGCATCAAATGTAATTTACAATCACCGGGCCTTTCCACCAGACGCAAGCATCGAGTAACGTCCGCTAATCGTAGCACGCAGCGATTAGCGGACGTTATACTGGATGGGTGAGTTTCTACTGACAGCAAAGCGTTGTTTTGGAACCGTCCCACAAGCGTAGGTACACGTTGCTTATAATTTATGTCTCTTTATTACAGGCTACGGTTCCAGTTCAGGTCGGGCCGAACAACACAGAAGCTGTGGAAGCCATCCAGAAATTTTCTAAATAAAACTCACGTTCTAATTTCCAGTTGCTTAGCTAGTAAAAAAAAAGTACGTCAATCCTAAGAAACCTCTGTAGCCGAGGTCAACAGAACAGAAAAAACACAGACCCGGATACATATGGTCATTGTTCTCTTTGCTTATCAACATGGGAACTGCTAAAATCACGCGTGGTCTTGCAATTGTTGTGGGATTTTGTGACCTCGTGGACCAGCTGTGTGGAACGCTTTCGATACCGTTTTGTGTCTGAAACGCTCCTGGTGAAGCGCTCCTGGTGGAAGTGCTCCTGGTGAAACGCTCCTGGTGAAGCGCTCCTGGTGAAGCGCTCCTGGTGAAGCGCTCCTGGTGAAGCGCTCCTGGTGAAACGCTCCTGGTGAAACGCTCCTGGTGAAACGCTCCTGGTGAAGCGCTCCTGGTGAAACGCTCCTGGTGAAGCGCTCCTGGTGAAGCGCTCCTGGTGAAACGCTCCTGGTGAAGCGCTCATGGTGAAACGCTCCTGGTGAAGCGCTCATGGTGAAACGCTCCTGGTGAAGCACTCATGGTGAAACGCTCCTGGTGAAACGCTCCTGGTGAAACGCTCCTGGTGAAGCGCTCCTGGTGAAACGCTCCTGGTGAAACGCTCATGGTGAAACGCTCCTGGTGAAGCGCTCATGGTGAAACGCTCCCCGTGGGTCCATTTGTGTCTGTTATGTTAAGCGTCGCTGACGTATCCGGTGGAAAGGCGGGGTCATTCTTAAATCTAAAACATCTAATAGAACAACAAAAACTATGATGGGGGCCAGCAAAAAGGTGAGACACCATGTCCTAAATCTGAACATGACCCAGCTCACAGATAAAAACAGCGATTAAAAATGTAAGCGTGGCAGACCGCCAGACATGAACGTGGGCTCAATTTAAGCTTTAAATTAGGGATGTTCCGATCACATTTTTTTGCTCCCGATCCGATTCTGAGTCATTTGATTTTGAGTATCTGCCGATACCGAGTCCCGATCCGATACTTCAGCAATACAATAAAATAGCAAGAAAAAAAGGAGACTGCACCCAAATTGACCTGTTAGGTTTTTTTATTATTATTTAAATGACGGCATCCAACATAATACCATAAGAAAGTAGAAACATTTTGTTAGTGCAGCAGCACTTCAAACCAAGTAAACAAAATTATATCTTTGTAGCTTATCAGTGGTGCAACAATATGTAAACAAATTTGTTTTTATAGAAAAGTAGAAAAGGTTTGTAAAATAACTCAACACAATAATAGAAGTTAAATTAAAGTGCTTACCTCCACCTCTAAGAGGTAGTTGCATAATTTAGTCAGGTAACAAAATAAAATACATCTTAGGCCTTTAGACTGACTAGTTTATTAAAACGAACAAAAGATATGCCTAATCAAAGTGGTGTACAAACTTAACACCATTCAAGAATAAAACAACATCAAATTGCAAAGAACTGGTAAATCACCTCTTCCATGTGCTCTACATGGAGCTCAACTTTTACTCTAAGGCTCCCAAATAAAGTGCATGTTTTTTTTTTTGAGGAAAATCAGCATCTCTAACTTGTCGGGGGAGAGCCGATTCCTATTCTCGTCAAGAATGTTTGACACTGCACTAAAGAGTCTCTCACTGTCCACTGAGGTGCAGGGGGCACAGAGAAATTTGGTTGCAACAGCAGCCAGTGAAGGGAACTGTGTAGCATGTGTTTTCCAGTAGTCTAGAGGATTGCTTTTCCTAGAGATGGTTTGTTCCGAAAGGTAGATCCGTACCTGGACATCTGCTGATGTGGTACTCACAGATTGGGCCTCTGGCTGACGCTCTTCTAAGATCTCATCTAAGATGCTGCCAAGGCTGCTTCCTGCTCCTTGACGAGGTGCCTTGCTCACAGGCTCTGCTGCCTCTGGTTCTTTACTGGCAACCCTGTTCTCCTCCATCTTCATCACCTCCTGGATGAGGGAATCTTTAGCAAACCTCAGGTGGTCTGACTTTGTGAAATATCTACAAGATAAATGTAACAATTTTTTTAAAAATGTTAGGCAAGACACTGCATAACACAACAGTTCAATTGAGGAAATGTTATATTTACATAATAGTAAACAATAGGGCTGCAACAACGAATTGATAAATTCGATGAAAATCGATTACTAAAAGCGTTGGCAACGAATTGCGTCATCGATTCGTTGTGTTGCGCAACTCTTCCAAAAGCCCCCTCCCCTCCCGCCCGCCGTTGCACGCAGACCGGTGGAGAGCCGGCAGGTGTTTGTAAGAGGAACATGGCAGAAGCAGCGAGACCCCAAAAAAGTAAAAACTTCTAAAGTTTGGGAGCATTTTCAGTTAAATCAGGCGAAGACATGCAATGTTTGTAGGTCAGACTTAGCATGGCACGGGGATACTACGGTGATGATGCAGCGTCTTAAACGCAAGCATGTCAGAATCATCAGCGAGGAAGGAGAGAGCTCGGTGTCCGGGTAAGTTAAAAACTTTTCAAATGTGATTCACCCAAGCCCCGGATTATTACACACGCTAGACATGTCCTAAGCTCTTAAAAAAAGTCTATAAAATTGTAAGCGTGACGCTATTAGATAGGGGGGTGGGGGTGGGGGGGACTCGCGCCGCTGCGAACCGGTTCCGCCGTCACATTTCCGCAGAAACTGGTTGATTACACCGGGGCCAGACTACTAACATGTGGCTTTACAACCACAATGTCCTCAGAAGCGAAAACGCTCTTAAAAGGGAGGGAGGAGTCCTAACTGTTGCTGCAGGCGTGTTGTGTGAGTGCAGTTATATACTGGTTAATATATTTTTGGGTTCAGTTGCTTTCATGTGGCCTAATGTGAGTCTGTTTGGGATCATTGGAATGATCAGCAACATTTCTTGATGTGACTTTATGGCAGTTGCCCAGGGCATCATCGCAAGGAGGATGGCATTCATTTATTTTTGTTTTATTTGGTATTGTTTCAGTCATTTTTGGAAATAGTGATTAATTTTGATTAATTCACAGCCTATGTTTAATTACATTTAAAAATTAGTTGTTTGACATCCCCAATTATAATAAATGTCTACAGATGAGATCAAACAAAACAGATGAGAATTGCCCTTAAAGAGCAAGTCACCCCCAAATAAACTTTTTTTTGCTGATAAACTAAATAAACGAGTGTCTAATTGTGCTGCAGACACGTGTCATCAATAATTTGGCACTTCATTGCATCTTAGTTAAAATTTAAATATTCTGCCTCAAACTGGCAGTGTTGTGCCATTGTCAGGTAAAAACTCTGCACTGTATTTTAATTTAAATCTACCACCGCTATTGGCTAAGAAGTATGCTATGATGTAAACTGGTACATTATGATGTCACAATGCTGTCGTGAGCCTGAGTGTGTGTGTATTTGTTAGCGGCTCCGCCCTCTCGGTCTGCCAGGCAACAGCATGTGTTGCATTTTTCAAACATGAAGCGGGAGTGGAGTTAGACTCTGGTAGGGGTTGACTTGCTCTTTAAGCTGTTTAACTTGGACCAAGCATTTTAGGTCACAGATAGGTGTAGCTTAGGGTCTCTGTCTATACACCTTATAAGACAATTTAGGTGATGGCATGTTGTTTTTCTGCTATTGAACTGTTTTCTAATAATGGCGTGTTTAATAAAGTGAAGGAAGGAGAAAAATAACGTTTCCCTAGCAGTTTTTAAAAATGTCCCTATGTAATCCGATTAATCGATTAATCGTGTCGAGACCCCATCCGATTAATCGATTATCCAAATAATCGTTTGTTGCAGCCCTAGTAAACAATTCTCTAATCATTAACAGAGCTAAATCTAAATTTTAAAAACATAATTAGACATTGGCTGACTTACAATTTTGAAAATTTATTTTCTTAGAATCAAATTAAAAATGTACATTATTTCTACTTGCCTGTCTTTGTATCTTGGATCCACTAAAGTGGCGATGCTGTAGAGTGGTTCCTTTTCTACCTCAGCAAAGCGAGTCTCCACTGCCTCTAGGAGAGTTCTTTTCATGGTTCGAACACCCTGGTCAGTCGTTTGCTCTCGAGACAGGACACGTCTGAGAGCTGTTTAGAGAATGAATAGATGGATAACAGTTTATTACTTATTTAGAATAAAAAACATTGTGTGTTCTTTAATTAAAATGTAGAAAATAAAACAAAACCAACCTGAAATGGCAGGGATCACATCTGCTGCAGTTGCAGTCTCCTTGCTCACTTCCCTAGTCAGTTCTTCCAAGGGAATTAACACTTCAGCTGTATTCTCCATCAGGGTCCACTGACTAGATGTTAGTGTAGCAGGGAGGTTGTGGTCAGCTGTATAGATGCTGAGCGCTCGCTTTTGCTCCAGAATGCTCTGTAGCATATAGAGGCTGCTGTTCCATCTAACATGCACATCCTGCTGCAGGCGCTTCACGGTCATCTTCAGAGAAATCTGGATATCTTCCAGGCGTGAATAGGCCAAAGGAGAATGTTTGAAATGGCCTATTATCTTCCTGGCATTAGCCATTGTGTCTGTGACGCTGCGCTGAGAGAGCAGACCCTCGTGCACAACAAGTTGAAGCGTGTGTGCAACACAGCCCAAGCCTGGTACTGCCAAGTCCTCCATGGCTCTCTTCATATTTCGCGCATTGTCACGCACAATTACATGGACACGTTCCTTTTCAATTCCCCAACTGTTCAGCATCTCTTCAATAGCCTGTTTCACATGCTCTGCTGTGTGAGATCCGCGAAAATGTTGCGCATTTAACGTAGCACGTTGTAAATTGAAACTCGAGTCGATCCATTGTGCAGTGAAGCTGATCAGTGACATTGGACAAACAGACGAACTCCATATGTCCGTGGTAAACCCAAAAGCAGACACCTTTGATAACATGACTAACAGGTGGTCACGTAGCTTGTTGTGAATGCTGGGCAGAGCTGTGTCTGTAAAGTAGCTTCGAGAAGGTAACTCGTACCGTGGCTCCAGGTGCTCCATGAGACGGCGAAATCCTACGTTTGAAACCACAGACAGCGGCTGGTCATCTAGTGCAATAAATTCAGCTATCTTGGCTGTGATGTTCTTGGCCTTGTCGCTATCCTTAGGAAGTTTTTCTTTGTTTTTCAGCATAGCTTCCAGTGTCGGCTGGCTCCATGTTTTGATCTGCGTTGCCGCGGTGAACTCGGAATATTGAGCTGGATGTTTGTTCTTAAGATGCCGGATCAGGTTCGTGGTGTTAAAAGCAGCTCGGTCTTTTCCACCACGTGAAACACTCAGTTTGCAAATGTTGCAAGTGGCTGTTGGACAGCCTTCGGTCTCCAGTTTAAAATGATTCCAAACCGCTGACATTTTTTGCTCTCCTGGAGCGAGACGAGCATTAACCTGCTAGCTAACTGCTACCTGAATTCCACGGTCCACTTTAAAACATGTGGCATTATGGCTGCCGTATGGTGTCATGTCGTTATTGAGGAAGTGAAACTTGGTACAAAATTAAGCCATTGTTATTCAATTTGAAACTCAAGATTGATTAAAAATGTCATGCTTGTTGTTTTATAAGGTTAAATCCGATCTTTAACACCCGATTCCGATCTTTTAAAAGTCACGTGATCGGGCCCGATTTCCGATCACGTGATCGGATCGGAGCATCCCTACTTTAAATTACCCAAGAGGCATCCTTTACACAGGATTCAGTTCATAGCAGTCATCTGTTTGAAAACGTGTAAACGAAAGAGAAGGTCTATCTGATAAAGCCGGTGACGCAAGAAGAGAAATAAACTTACAAGCATCGTCTGCAAGAACCGTAAATAGGACTTCTCCTGCTCTTTGAGATGTTCGATGAGAAGAGAGAGTCGCTCCACATTGGCTGGCACATCGTTCTTTTCCACCAGATAGTCCCTCATGGACCTGGCCTTGCTGATGTAGTCTCGGATCTGGACCAGCTTGCTCACCACCTGAAACCGTGCATAGATGGGGGAGGGTGGGGTGCGGGTTTGTTAGGAGATAAAAGGTTCAATAAAGACGAGACATAAAACACAGAAAGGAAGTTGAGAGAGCATCCGTAGCGATGGTTCAGACTTGGCAACGCAAGGGCAGAAAGGGGGTTGGGCACAAAACTCACAGGATACCGACGGTGGCATATTTATAAACTGACCTATATTCAGCCTACTTTCAGCTGCACCAGCTCTCCCTCACTCTCATCCTGTTTTTTTTTCTTTTTTTTCTGAAGTTGTCTGGAGTTTTTCAGAGTGGTTTTACAGGTTATGCACACACACATGAAGAAAGACTTGTAATCAAATGCGGTGCAAGCCCCTAAAGCTACAATAAGTGTATATTTATCCTTAGATCTTAGATTGTACCTGTAATAGCAACAGGAGTTTATTTCTGTACCCCCAATCAGCTAACCCAGATAACGGTCCCTCCTCGCTTTCTGTACAAGCCAACATGTGCAATACGCTTTAATCAAGACATTTCTACTAAAGCGCTCAGAAATGCAATGCAGCTACTCTCCAAACAGTGCTTTTCCACACATCACCTTATACATTCTTTATCCCTTCCACTGTCCTAATGGGTGTGACCCCATGAGGAAAGGTGACCATTGAGCAGGGTTGTGTCCACGTGGCAGGGGTGAGGAGTGAGCACCACCTCACCCCTGCCACGTGGACCTCAAGGGATAAACCATCAATCCTGCTCAATGGTCACCTTTCCTCGCGGGGTCACCCATACAGACAGTCGGAGGGTTAAATGTGGTACAACTTTTTCAAAACATTCAGATTCTACGGCAGTTACCCATTTGGAGCAAACCACCCATCCTAATCAGTTGTTTTATTTAAATAAAGGTATCAAATAGTAATTTAAAAGGACTGGCCATGGTGTTGGTATCAGCAAAACATTACCTGACTGCTGTCTAATCTCGGCTCTCCTCTCACATGCTCTCTCTGCAACAGGAGGCCTTGCTCTGAATCACTGTGGGCGAGCCTCGAAGAGTCTCTCACAGGAGTCGCTAGGGTCAACAAATCCCTGAAACCAGGGCTCTGCTTCTTGATCTCCTTGGTGATAGCAGGGGTGGTTGGGGCAGAGGCCGAGGGAAGGAGTGGCTCTTTGCTTTTGTTAGTGTTTACATGGAGAGGTAGGTAGTTGTGGGGCTTTCTGTTCTCTCCAGCTAGCTGACGCTGGTTGTTAGCAGCCGTGACGCGCCCCTGAGAGTCGCTTCCGATGCTCCTCTGGATAAGAAAAAAAAAATAGATTAAAATCAAATACTGTGCAAGGTTTAAGACTGCTTATTTGAACTACTGTGATTTTTGTGGTGTATTTTAGTGCTTTTGGGCCATACTTGGAGGTTTTGTGAATCAATCCACTAGTCTTTAAACATTGTGCTAGTACAGCAAGCAAGGGAAAAGCAGCTACGCACCACTTTTGTCATTACAAAAAGACTCATCTATACGTCTTTTATTCTTGAAGTAAAAAAGGACAGTGCTCCTTTCCTTCCTTTAGACTGACTGACTGATATTATTGATCCAAACATATGAAAAAAAAAATAAAATTTTTTTTACATTAGAGGCACAAGTGTAACCAAGCTCATTTCTGTTTCCACGTCATTAGTAAATCACCTAAATTTTATTTTACATTTGATGACACAAAAAAAAAAATCACTGAAAACAACAATAATTAATTTACCTCATCCAGATCTGTAAAATTTATTCTCTGACGCAGCTTATCCAGCTCAGCCTGCTCTGGGACAGACATCTGAGTAGAGTATTTGATGTGAGGGAAGGAATGAGGAGTGCGTGTTTTCCTGCGGCCGGCTCCTGGGGTGGACTCTGGTGAAATGTCATTAGTCAGACGGCTCTCCACCACTGAGGCAGACAGCTTTTTCTTGTTTTCTGAAGATCGATTGGGTTTCTTCTGCTGTATACCCCAGTCCTGATCAGAAACATTGTTTTAAAGTGATGCATTTGAATATCAATGATTGTTTTTTCAAAGACTGACATGCAGTTGTCATTTGTGTGGAGCCCTTACCATGTTGTTGAGTCTATCTTCCAGACTGCCATTAGTTACAGTCCAGTTGTGAAGCTCTTCTACAGGATCATCTACAGGTCCTCCCGTTGCCATGTCCCCCACTGCTTCCGCCTGCTGGAATTCACAACAGACAGAAAGCAAGAGCTGAAAATCTGGTTACATACGTTTTAGAAAAACATGACTAGAGCACAGAAAATATCATTCAATTAAATAAAAAGTAAGGAAGTTTCATTACAATCGACATCTGATTAATCTTGTTAACCAATTTAGTCAAGAGAAATTAACCAAAAATGAGGCGATCACAACGGATTGTTAAAGGCTACCGTCGATGCTACAACTAGCTATAAAATGCGTCAGTCCGCAATAACAAAAAAACAAATGTTCTCGTCAAAAGACGCAACTTTTTTACTAAACTAACAGATTTCAAAACCACAACTGTGTCATTAGTCGTGTGTGTGACCTGTCCGTAAGCGCTAGCTGCTTTTGTTTTCTGTGTCTGGCCCACTCGCATTCCCGGGGAAAGATACAAACCCTCCACCGTCCGTTCGAGGGGACTAGCGGGTTGAGCTCAATGTTCGGAACTCCATAAGACTTGCTTTCGTTACCTAGTAAAACAACAAAACCAGCAGTAGCCTCTCCAAGGGTTAGTTCTAAAATAACACGGTCTTCTTCTTCTTCTGGTGTTTCATTGGCAGCAAATAACACGGTCGCTTCTCGGTAAACTTTACTAGCCAAACACTTGTGACCTATTTCCGACCAGCAATTGCCATGGCAACATACTTCCATACAACCACTTTGCGTCGTCACGTAAAATGATCATTTTTAGGAGGCTAGCTACCTTGAAAAAAAAAGCTAACCTAAAGTGTTTTGTTAAAATTCTATGCACATTAGCCATGCCCAACTTCAAAGTGACATTAGCCATTTACCTTTGCTAACTGCCTGGACCCAAATGGCTAACAGAAGCAGCACGATGCTGTTACAAGCAAGCCGATTTGTCATTTATTACTTGGGCTCAATCCATCGTGGGGGGTTTCGTGCTAAAAGACATTTCAGCCATCCAGGTAACAATTTCTTCTATTCTTTCTTATCCTGGCATGATCTGACGATTCTTACTGAGGGAAACACGCAATTCACGTATCTATTATCCTAGGTGACATATTCAAAGGTTTTTTTAATACACAAAATAAAGAATAGTGGTAAACTCGTGTATAGATCTATTGAGAAACTCGCAACAAATGCAATTACAAATATTTTGAAAGATAATTAAAATATCTATTAAGAACTTGATGAAATAGCATTTGATTCAAACTTTATTTATTGAAATACAGCAAGGCAACAGCACTACCACTGTGCCAACATGCAGCCAAAGCATAACAGATTCAAGTAAAATTTAAAATGTAGTATGTATAAAAATGAGTGAAATTAACATGTGAACTGATATGATATCCATAATGTTACACCTACTCCTACCCTAGGATCCACCCATCCCTTCCTCTATTCCACTGCATCTCTTTGTGCACTTCCATCTATGTTGCACTCTGATTCATTTCTACACTATTTTCGCATACTCCTCTGTCGGAGCCTAGTGTTCTTTCCTCTAATCAGTTTATCGTTAGAATCAGATGCAAGTACTGTTACATCCTTGTTTATAGATCGTTTTGGACAAAAGCATCTGCCAAATACATTAGCACAATGCCCTTTTTGATATCTGGAGCTCAATACAGATAAATGCAAAAGCTGAAGTAGAAAAATGTAATTTGAAAAAATCCTTAATGCTGTTGTTGGTAGACAGAAACCATTGCTAGACATCTGACTTTTTCTCTTTGTCTGAGAAGAATTAATTTTGATGTATATCTGAAAGTGATAAACATCCCAGCCATTAAATGTTCAAATGACCGTTTGGAATCAAAAGCATTTTTAAATACTCTAAACCTGGGGGTTTCCAATTGAAATATCAATTACAGTATTAAAATGTGTTTTTACTGATCAGAATGCACTTCTAGATATTATTTCAGTTACGATAAGTAAGAAATACATTTTGATAATGGGAATTATTATAACTTTATCTAAAATTTTAAGTGAATGGAAATGTTTTGCTTCATTAAATGCTATCACGGCTTGCTAAATACAGCAGGTTGCAGGCTGCAACCTTTGCTAAGCTAACAAGCTAAAGTAAAGGAACTGCGCCAAAATAGAGGAGATAGTAAATCGCTGTGTTGCACTTCGTGTACTTTTTGTAAAGTATCAAACAATTTTCCTAAAACATTTAAAAGCGTTTGTTTGTCAGTTAATGTCCGGTTGTTAAAGCCCCAGCCAGCAGGGGGCGATATACAACCAGGGCGAGCAAAGTTTTTTCTACCACTTGACTTCCGGAAACGAATTCGTTGTCGTTGTATGTTCGTTTCGTCGAAGTAGCAAACTTAAAACGTGGTTGTTAGTATTTATGCTGGTGCGAGGTGCTACAAATAAACAAACCAACGAAACTCCACGTATTTTCCACCGATGCTGGATATCGAAAATATGATGCAGTTTTCCCCGAAATGAGTGAGTTTTGACGTGGCTAACCCTTTAGCTTTTGAAGCTAACTCGACCTAGTTGGGAGAAAAGTTCGCGACATTTACCACATCAATACAGCTGAAGAGACTGCGTACGCAGCTTGACTGTGACGGAACTACGACTCTGGAGTTGTAAACAGCGGACGAAATCATGGGTTCTTCAAAGAAACACAAGGAAAAGAGTCGCGATAAGGACGCAGAAGAGCGCCGTCGTGAACATAAGAAGCATCGGCACAAAGAACGAGAGAGAGACAGAGATGCCTCAGATCGGGATGGAACTCGAGAAAAACGAAAACGCTCCAGGTCCAGGGAAAGGAGCAGACGGGATAGTCGCAGCAAAGGGGAAAAAAGCAGTGGCGAGACTCGTATAAAGAGGGAGAAATTGGATCCTGGCTATGAGGAAGGCAGTGCAGAAATACAGCCTCAGAGTGCAAGTGGAGATGCTTCCCTCAGCGTCGAGGAAACGAACAAACTCCGAGCCAAGCTGGGTTTAAAGCCTCTGGAACTCAATGAGAACAAGAAAGAACTTGGAACCAAAGAGGAGCCACTGGTGGCTGAGACCATCAACCCTGTTCTCATCCAGCAGCAGAAAGAGATGAGGGAGAAGCTTGCAGCTATGAAAGAAAAACGTCTCCTCAATCAGAAACTGGGCAAAGTCAAAAACCTTGCAGATGATGATTGGCTCGATGACACAGCCGCTTGGATTGAAAGAAGCAGAAAGCTGGCACAAGAGAAAGAAATGGCAGAGAAAAGAGCCAAACTTCTGGAAGAGATGGATGAGGAGTTTGGTGTCAGCAATCTGGTTGAAGAGGAGTTTGCTCAAAGTAAATTGGATTCTTATTCTTCACGGGATCTCAAAGGCCTCAAAGTGCAGCACAAGGTTGATTCCTTCAAGGAGGGCCACACTGTCATTCTGACCCTGCAAGACAAAGGTGTCCTGGAAGAAGAGGAGGATGTGCTTGTGAACGTGGGACTGGTGGACAAGGAAAAAGCAGAAAAGAATGTGGAGTTGAAAAAGAAAAAGCCTGACTACAAGCCCTACGAAGAAGAGGAGAGTGTGGATGACATGGTCACCTTTAAGCCCCGCACTGTACTTTCAAAATACGATGAAGAAATTGAAGGTGAAAAGAAAAAGAGCTTTCGTTTGAGCACATGGGGATTTGCTGATGGGGAGCGAGAACGGGAGCTGCAGGCTATGAAAGAAACGCTGCAAAACCAGGCCCAGTCTTTGGAAATGCCTGCTCTTGCTATCGCTTCGGAGTATTACACGCCTCAGGAAATGGTTGGCTTTAAAAAGACAAAACGCCGTGTGAAGAAAATCAGGAAGAAGGAGAAGCAGACAATTGCAGATGAGCTCCTTGATGACACTCGCAGCTCTGACTTTGGCTCCCGAGCACGAGGTCGGGGCCGCAAACAGGACAACGAAGAGGAGAATACAGGCAAGGGCGAGCGTTGGCCACATGAAATCCCCCAAATGTCTGATGACATCAGGACGGCAGAAATGGAAATGAGTGATGAAGAAAACTTCACGCCTCCTGAGCCAGCTGTAATTGAGGAGGATGAGGCAGAGCAGGAGCTGCAGAAACAACTGGAGAAACAGAGGAAGCTGAGGCAGAAGCAGCTTCTCAAAGACTCCGGGGAGAAGGTGGCAGAGCAGATCAGACGGTTTGTTAAAGGCGGTGACGAAAATGATCCTGACAAGAGGAATAACATTGTCTTCAATGCCACCTCTGAGTTCTGCAGAACTCTGGGTGATATTCCAACGTATGGACTGTCTGGAAACAGGGAAGACCAGGAGGATATCATGGACTTTGAACAGGAAGAAGAGAAAGATGATGCTGGAGATTCAGACTCCGAAATGGATGAAAATATTGGGTGGAGCACAGTTAACCTGGATGAGGAGCAAAATCATGCTGAATTTTCCACAGCCTCTGCCACTATCCTGGATGAGGAACCCATCGTGAACTCTGGCCTTGCTGCTGCTTTACTGCTGTGCAAAAATAAAGGGCTGCTGGACACGCAAATGCAAAAGGTGGCTCGTGTCAAAGCAACAAAGGGGTCCCTGCCTAATGACAACTACTGCATCGAGGACAAGATGGGCTTTGATGATAAGTACAGTCGCCGGGAAGAATACAGAGGCTTCACGCAGGATTTCAAGGAAAAGGATGGATATAAACCCGACGTCAAAATTGAGTATGTGGATGAGTCTGGGCGCAGACTCACCCCAAAAGAGGCATTCAGGCAGCTTTCGCATCGTTTCCACGGCAAAGGTTCTGGAAAGATGAAAACTGAAAGGAGGATGAAAAAGCTGGAGGAGGAAGCGCTGCTGAAGAAGATGAGCAGCAGCGATACACCTCTGGGGACGGTGGCTTTGCTTCAAGAGAAACAGAAATCTCAGAAAACGCCGTACATCGTCCTCAGTGGCAGTGGGAAGAGCATGAATGCAAACACCATCACTAAATAAATATGTAGGGGAAAATGATTATTGTTGTAGCTCTTTTGAGATTATTGCTAGTTTATGGTCTTGCTTCAGTGTTGATATAACAATAGTATAAGAAAATCAGTACAGGTGTAAACTATTTCATTTGTCTTGTGAATTTCCTAAAAGAACAATAATTTAAACCACAAATTGTTTTTGAAACTTTTTTTTTCTGCTAAAATATGATTAATGGATTCAGTTATTATTGGAGGTGAATTTTTGAACAATATATGGGCAATTTTTACAAATCAGATAAAGGAAAAAAATTTCTGGTCACAAAACTAAAACAGGATAACTTGCATCATTGCACCTTTAAGCTCAAACAAGAACAACGTTAAAAAATGGGATGCAAGCATGTTTTTCAAAAGGTCATTAGAAATTTTAAATGCTGATCAGTTTCTGTTTTATGTCACCTGCTCTTTGTGATTAATTTTCTGCCTCAGATAATATACGAGTGAGAGTTGTTTCATATTTGACCTTAAACTGGGAACTGAAATCTTTGTAAAACCACCCTAGGTAAAACTGGAGAGCCTGGATCATTCACTGAAACAGCTGTTAGGATAATATCGTTTGATCTGTCTTTAAATTCTGAATAAATAAAGTGCATCTGTTGATGATTTAATGTCTAAACATAATTTTTAAAAGTTATACACTTATATTGTACATAAAATTTGCAATTCAAATATATATATATATATATATATGAATTGCAAATTCTATTGCACAACATGTCATAAAACACTTAAAATAACAAAGCTCAAAATTTAGGGAGTTCAAGACATTTCACTTTTTGTAGTTTGTCAATAGCTGTGGCTAATAACAGTATTGAAAATCATATATAGTATATTTTTTGTTATTTGATAATTATTGAAATAGCAGTAGTTGTAGTTCAGTAAATATTTAGGCCTGTTCAAGTTCCGGTTGTGTGTGCGCAGAAGGCTTTTGCAGCATACCACGTGGCTACAGCTCAGAAATCTTTTAAATGAACTAGTTTCTTTTTCCGTTCATAAACTAGTATTTCTTAAACATTTAATCGCTGTTTAACCAGCCTAACCTCCCTACTTAGCGACTGCAATTAGTTTTTGACGGCGACCGTGAGCGGAACCCTGTTCAGCAATTGGGAGTTGCGGCCGAGCCCAATTCCGATACACAACCTGTAGCAATTCGCTCAAAGCTAACCGCTAACGTAATCTAACGTCACGTCATGATCGCTGAGAGGTAAGTGATGTTATGTAGAGCTACGCAGCCGGTTTGTTGCCACAGTTATTCCACGAAGAAATTAAACGACACGAGACCGCACAGCTGAAATCTTTAGAGGCGATGTGTAAGCTCGTTTTCCAGCTTTCTGACACCGTGTAGCTCACAGGCAGCTTAGTGGCGGGTACGGAGAGTTTAAGTAGCTTTAATTTTGGGAGCCGGTGTTGTGCCATAAATCGATCACTGCCAAAAAATGATTAGCTTAGTTTTGTCCAGTTCGGAAGTTGTTTTAAGTGTTGCTATTTGTCTTAAACGTTCACAATGAGGATATATTAATCCTTTTTGCAATATTTGCGATTGAAAGATGGTTTGTGGTAAGAACTGGCTTTCTTTATGTTACAGCCTTGATGCTAAAAAAATAAATAAACAATGTAAAATGGCGCCCTGTATTGAATGTAAACGTTGTATAAATGTAAATGAACAATTCTCCAGCGATTTGATTTTTTCCCCTTCCTTTCTTTAGTGGCTAATCATTTTCTGGCAGCGAGTCGATTTATGGCACAACACCGGCCTCGGTTTTCTCGGTGTAACCTACATCTGCGGTGATCATTTGATACTTTTGTCTCGTTTTAGCAAAACAACCATTGATTTTGATCAACGTGAAAGGCTAACGGAATATTTAAATAATTAGAAACGCAAATTCTTTTCATGTGAAATGTATTTAGGTATCTGTTTAAATATATCCCGTGTTAAAGTGTTAAGTAATAAAAATTATTTAAAAGGCATGTTTAAATAAATTATACGGAAATAAACCGTTCTGTCTGCAGAGAAGTAATTAGAGCAACGCAACAATATTACACCATTTTCCTGTCACGTTTAATTAAAATAAAAATTTCCATTCATACATTTTTAAGCGCTTATCCGGAGTCAGGTCAGGGGCAGCAGCCTGTCGAGAGGCTCATACTAACCTCTACCTTCTGATGAAGCCAACAGGACCACATCATCTGCAAAAAGCAGACACTTAATCCTTAGGCCACCAAAACGGATCACCTCAACACCTTGGCTGCGCCTGGAAATCCTGTCCATAAAATTTATGGACAAAGGACAGCCTTGGCGGAACTTTCACCGGAGCCCGACTTACTGCCAAAAATGTGGACCAAGCTCTGACACGAGCCATACAGGGACCTAACAGCCCGTATCAAAGGGCCTGGTACCCCATTCTCCCGGAGTACCCCCCAAGGGACGCAGTCGAACGCCTTCTCCAAATCCACAAAACACGTGTAGACTGGTTGGACAAACTCCCACACACCCTTCAGGATCCCACTAAGGGTATAGAGCTGGTCCAGTAGTCCACGGCCAGGACGAAAACCACATTGCTCCTCCTGAATCCAAGGTTTGACAATCCGATGGACCCTCCTCTCCAGAATTCCTGGATAGACCTTACTAGGAAGGCTCAGGAGTGTGATCCTCCTGTAGTTGGAACACACCCTGCAGCCCCCTTTTTTAAATGGGACCACCACCCCAGTCTGCCAATCCAGTGAAACTGCCCCCGATGTCCATGTGATATTGCAGAGCTGCGTCAGCCATCACAGCCCCACAACATCCAGAGCCTTAAGGAACTCCGGGTGGATCTCATCCACCCCTGGGGCCTTGCCACCAACGAGTTTTGACCACTTCCATGACCTGATAAGACCCGATAAAAATGTTATTGTTTTTAATTTGTTCGTATTTAATTTATGATTTACACCATATTAGTATCATTGTGGGTTTTATGGTATGAAATAGTTGTTCATGATGGCTTTTATTCATATGATGTTTTTTCATTCCCTAGGATCTAACATCAATCAGTGGAACAAGCTGTTGAGATGTCGGAGCCCAAGCCTCCTGCTCCCACTTCCACTCCCACCCCCGGTGACACGTACAAGGGCTGGCTCTTTAAATGGACTAATTACATTAAAGGTTACCAGAGGCGATGGTTTGTTCTCAGCAATGGACTGCTGTCTTATTACAGGTCAGTTATAGGAAGTAATAGACCAGCGAAGGTTTTCATTTATTAAGAAAGATTTTATTTAGGTGACCAATTGTTTTACAGACAGATTGATCGGCAGTCTAAGTAGAATTAAATAGATGATATTATGCAATAATAAACCTAGCCATCTAAAGTAGCATTGACTGCTAACAAGATTGTTTTTTTACTCCTATGTCATTTTCTAGAACTCAGGCAGAGATGGGTCACACATGCAGAGGCACAATAAACTTGGCCACTGCTAACATTGCTGTGGAGGATTCGTGCAATTTTGTCATTTCCAACGGTGGGGCGCAGACCTATCACCTGAAGGCTAGCTCAGAAGTGGAGCGCCAGCGATGGATCACTGCACTGGAACTTGCCAAAGCAAAGGCTGTCCACATGCAGGCGGAATCTGGTGAGACAATGAACAAATAAACCCTGAAATAGTATATCTCATTGGTGGTTGTCAACAGTTCCCCTTTTCCTGTTCTTCAGACGATTCCAGTGATGATTTCCCCACAGCCGCCCCTGTTTCAGCACAGGGTGGGAGCTCCTGCATCTCAGAAGTTCAGTCCACGTTACGCACCCTTAGCAGCAAGGTGGAGGACCTGATCACTTGCAATGATCTCATTGTCAAACATGGGTCTGCTCTCCAAAGGTATTGATGAATGTTAGACACAAAGAACAAACGCTGTAGGTTTTATTAAAGTTGTTGGATTATTATTTTTTTGCTCATTGAGGGTTTTTTATTTAAAAACTCAGGTCTTTATCAGAACTGGAAGGGCTGCGTGTTGGCGGGGACACGGGGGAGAAGATCAGACAAGTCACAGAGAGGGCCACGCTTTTCAGAATCACCTCTAATGCAATGATCAACGTAAGTTTTATTGACCTTTTTCTTGTGTTTGTCAGGGATGAGTGAAGAAAACTGCTGCTGGGTGTTTTTGCTGACATGTTTGTTTTGTATTCCCTAAGGCGTGTAGAGACTTCCTCTCCATGGCCCAGAGTCATAGTAAACGCTGGCAGAAGGCCTTACAGATGGAAAGAGACCAGAAAATCCGTCTGGAGGAGACGTTGGAGCAGCTAGCTAAACAGCACAATCACCTGGAGAGAGCTTTCAGAGGAGCTACAGTCCTCCCTCGATCGTTTAGTAATCCCACTCTAGCCGACAAAGGTATGGATCTCATTCCCAGTGAAGCTTCTCGTGTTTTGCCGCTTATCTCCTCCAACAGGTAAGCCTTGGGGTGATTTATTTTCTGCTGTATCATCATAAGGTGGTGCTTTGGTTAAAGGCGATGCCAGTGACGAGGATGATGACAATGAGTTCTTTGATGCAATGGAAGACCCTGCAGAATTCATCACTGTTCCAGCTGACCCCAAGTTTCATAGGTTGTTATTGTTAGTCTTTATAATGGAGACGTTTTTGTTCCTCTTTCTTGTTTGTTTCATAATCGATGCGTCCTCCTCCTCCTGCTCTCCAGGAGATCTGGCAGCAACGTCAGCGGGATCAGCACCGAGACTGGAACGGACGATCAGTCGGTAAATGTGCTGGTTTTGTTTATTTTTAAGAGTTCTTCACTTACAAAAGCTATATTAATCTGTTTTGTTTTTTCTTCCTACAGTTTGATGATCTGTCTTTGGCCTCCAATACGGAGTCTCCACAGCCCCTTGAGCTGGAGCCGGTCAGACAAAGACGAACTGTAATCCCCGACAAACCCAACTATTACCTCAATTTGTGGAGCATCATGAAGAACTGTATTGGGAAAGAGCTCTCAAAAATACCAATGCCTGTAAGAAGTCCCCCCAATTTATAACTCCTGATTTGATTTTCCGTTTCAAAATGGTGAGGACCCCCCCTCTTCCCCCAGGTGAATTTCAACGAGCCCTTATCAATGCTGCAGCGTTTGTCTGAAGACCTGGAGTACTACGAACTTCTGGATAAGGCTGCAAAGTGTCACAGCTCTTTAGAGCAGATGTGTTATGTGGCAGCTTTCACCGTTTCCTCCTACTCCACCACCGTCCACCGCACAGGAAAGCCGTTCAATCCTCTGCTTGGAGAAACGTTTGAGCTTGATCGACTCAAAGAGAGCGGTTTTCGCTCACTGTGTGAACAGGTATTTGGGGGAAAAGGTGTTTGTTTCTCTTTAGCTTCGTACAGCTTTAGCTCTTTAACAGGATAACTTTGGGATTTCAGATTATTTTCCAAATAGTTAAAAATTTTGGCCTGAGGTGTTGCAAAAAAAATTCTAAGCGTTAATCATCACTTCGCTGCTTTGCTCTTTTCAATGCTCTCACTACTGTCTAGGTGAGTCACCATCCACCTGCTGCAGCACATCACGCCTTCTCTGAAAAGGGCTGGACCCTTAGACAAGAGATCACACTGGCCAGCAAGTTTAGAGGAAAATACCTTTCTATTATGCCTCTGGGTAAGTCTTATGTATGGAAGCTAATGGCCGTCAGTGTGTGTGTGTGTGTGTGTGTGTGTGTGTGTGGGGGGGGGCAGTATATCCTAAGAATGCAATAGTCAGTCGTAACGTGAGATAAGTCTCGCTTTGATGAGAGACTTTCTTGTACTGACACGTTTAAAAAGATGAGAATGGTCTTGTTGGTAAAATGGCGTTCTCCTCAGAATGAACGAGGCAGTTGTTCTTGATGTTAAACTTTTAGGAAGTCCAGCAGCAGCGACCAGTGTTGGGAGTAACGCCGTTTAAGTATAACGGCGTTCTTTTATAGGTAATGGAATAATCTAATTAATTACTTTTCCCGCCGTTGCAACGCCGTTACCGTTACTGGGGACGGGAGGTTGTGCGTTACTATGTGCTTGTCGAACGTTGAGCAGCAGGCTTTCTGACCGCCACACTTCAGCTGCAGGCAGGGAGAGAGAGGTGTCGGTAACACACTTACAAACACGATGATGATTAGCCGGGTGGGCGGAGACCCTCACTGTCTCAGTCACTTCCTGCTGTAGACACAACGGGAATAACTCCGTTTAAAATAACCGCGTCAATAAAAAATATTTCTTTCTGTAACGAGCAAACTAATTAATTACGTCTTCTTTTATCAAAACGTCGTTTCTGTTACTGATAAGGAAATGCGTGCGTTAAGCAGCGCGGTGTATTGAAGCTGTCATCAGCTGATCAGGAGCTAAAGAGGCAGATGTTTAAGAGCATCACGGCCCGTGAAGAACGAGGAAGACGTGATGAATATTCTACTGCTGCAGACCCCCGCAGATTTGTTGCTGCAGCAGCGAATCTGCGGGTCTGCAGCCGTGCCCTAGCGTGACAGCGGGATGCCCTGAAGGTCTGCTCACCTGTTCACCGCTCAGACATCCTGATCTTCTACCTTCCTAGATGATCCAGCTGTAACCTGTTTCTGATCATGTCTTTAGTCCTGCTGTAACACTGATGCATCAGTCTCAAACGACATGGAGCTCAGGTGTTATTAGAACTACCTGTGTGTGTTTACCACCCAGCTTCAGCTCTTCTGTGGTTGGGTCTGACCCAAGTTAGTAAATGTAAGTCCTCCATCAGATCTGTGCCTCTTCTAGTGTCATTTTAAAGGATATTTATTTATTTATTTAACCATTACTAAATTACCAGCAACAGAAATGCTAGTAAAAACACACAGTTATGTGAAGCTGGAAAAATTAGAATACTGTGCAAAATTACATTTATTTCTGTAATTTAACTAGACTGAGAGACCATTTAAAGGCTCGGGAACCTTTACAGGTGTTTCTATTTGCAATTTTAAATTTTAGCTGATTGGGGTCTTGTTAAATATCACACAGTGACCTTTTAATAGTCTAGATTAGTGTAATGTTCCTGTTAGTAGTTCCTCCTGTTAAGTGCTTATTTGTTTAAATTATTCAGGTTTATATAAAACATTTGGACATACATTTTATTATGTTCAGTCATTAGTCATTTATATTTTACTATTGTAGTAATTCTTGCATTCTTTAATGAAAAAAGTAACTAAGTAGTTACTTTTGTTGGTAATTAGTTACTTTTATGATCTTGTAACTCAGTTAGTAACTGAGTTACTTTTTTGACAAAGTAATCAGTAACTATAACTAATTACTTTTTTAAAGTAACATTCCCAACATTGGCAGCGACACAGTACCGGGAAGAATAACCGCTGTACACTGCATAAATCAAGAGTATTGCACTTGCTATTGGCTCTTCTCTGTCGTCTGCTACACTCACACCCCATTGCCAAGGCAACAGACTGACAGCTTTTCATGCCGAGAAAAGCCTGTTGTAACAGGCGCATAACACCAAAAAACCCACAGATTTCCCACACAAAAGGAACATGTTTAATGTAATGTTGTTTCATTCATGTAAAAAGTTATTAATAAGAAAAAGCATAAACAGGAAGTCAACTTTTACTTTGAAAGCTGGACCTCAACTAGAAAGTGGAAGTACCGCAAATATGCGTGGACCAGAAATCCACATGAGGGCCGTTGTCTCTGTTCGTTGTTTTCAAAGTGGAGGACGGCCTGATGGACGTCTACAGGAATATGTTCATCTGACCAATTACAGAGGCCCTCTGGCTCTTCTCCCTTTGCTACATCTGGACGAGATTCAAACATCTCACAAGGTGTTTGGCATTTCACCGTTAAGAGCTAGCTCATTATTACGAGATATTAAATCATGAGCAACGTTCTTATTACAAGATACTGCTTCTATATTTGTTCCTGCGTTGGCTGTGAAACGCTTCTGTCTGGGATGTGTGTGTGTGTTGGAAGACTGATCTCAAAATTAAAAGGAAGTTATCCTGCTAATGTATTAGTGATGGTTGTTTTAACGTTCAGCCAACAGGCTATGATGCAATGGGCTCCTTGTAAACTAGAAATGCATCCATGTGAAATTCTGGCTGGATAACGATGTATCGCCGTTACGGCCGAAAAACGATGTTTTGCGATACATATACACACACGCTGACATTTATGCTTCTGAAATCTGCAGGTTCTGTATAGACTGAAGCTGAATATTTTAATGTCTTGTTTTATTCTTATAAAGTGCAAATGAGAGTGTGTGTGTGTGTGACATCATCACCTCCCCTCACCTTTGAAACAGAAACAAGGTGGAAAAAATGTTGGTTGTTATTATTGGCTCAATTTTACTTACCGGACCGATATTGATTTGTTGAAAATTGACTAACATCGGCCGATATCGATGCAGATCTATCGTGCATCCCTTTTGTAAACTGTGTCCTTATGTATTGATTTAGTGTTTTGGGAGAATAAGCGTCATTACCCCGTCTGTCACCAGGTTCTATCCAGTGTTTATTCGATAAAAGCAACAATCACTACTCTTGGAAAAAAGTCACCACAACTGTTCATAACATTATTGTTGGGAAATTATGGATTGATCAGGTAAGCACAAAACTAATGAACTTAAAGTGATTTGTTTTTCTGCTAGTACCGCATGACGGTCTGTAGTTCGCTTGCTGAGGCTTTTGGAACATCTCTGTGTTTGTGGCAGTCCGGTGAGATCGATGTGGTCAACCACAAGACTGGAGATCGCTGCCACCTAAAGTTTACTCCCTACAGTTACTTCTCCAGAGATGTACCACGAAAGGTATTTAGTTGGGTTTAACAATTCCACGTCATCATTTGCTTTATCACAAATTTACAGTAGGGATGTCCGGTACTATCGACCAATGTGAAATTGAAATGTAATATGGTAAAGTATTGTTTTGTACTCTTATTGACAAAACTACTCTTCAGCTACTGCTGCTCTCACTCAAAATGTCAAATATGACTGATCTGAGGTTTAGTTTTTGAGATATTTTAGTTTGTTTGGCCCAACAGGCCTAACTTAAATTGAAGTAGTTATATTTTGCACAGATAATGCTTAAATATAAATATGATGGGAGCAATGTGATGTTAGTGACCTAAAATGGTTTAGTTTTGTTTATGAGGGACCCTACATGTGTTTTATGGGCCATTCCCACCTGTACCGGGTCAGCCCGGGCCGGGTAGCCCCAGTCGGCCCCAGCCTGGCCCGGTTGATTCCCCACATCCTTGCCTTAAGCCCATGTGGGCTGATTCTACCCACCAATCAGAGGCTTGCTCTAATGGAAGGAGTGAATTTGCTGTCAGCAGTGGGCGTGTTGGCCCTGGTCGGCCTGAAGCAGACCCCCTCGAGAAGAGGGCTGAGAATGAGCCTTGGTTGACCCGGAAAAATACCAGGCCACCCAGATATGTAAACAACCTACGCTACCCGGCCCGGGCCGACCCGGTACAGATGGGAATGGCCCACTAGTATCAGTTCATATCTGTATTAGGAGTTAGACTACATCGGTACATCAGAAATCCGTAAGAGCTGATATAAAACATCCATCATTTACAGTTTATTGAAATAGTTTATTCTGTAAAAGGATGTAGACGTGTAAGAGGTCCAAACCTAATTTGACAGCTTCCATAACTGAGAGTTGTGTCCGTCCCAGGTAACTGGAGTGGTGACGGATAAGGATGGAAAGGCTCATTATGTGCTGTCAGGAACATGGGATGAGAGGATGGAGTTTTCCAGAATAATGCAAAGCAGCAAAGGTGAGAACGGCTCTGAAGGAAGACAGAGGACTGTGTATCAGACCCTCAAAGCCAAAGAAATCTGGAAAAAGAACCCTTTACCGTAAGTTTTTGTTTTAAAGAATCCAAGGACTATCACAAATGCATCAGTTAGGTGTTGCAGCTTAAAGTTGGATTATGTTTTATGGTGATGAAATTGCAGAGAGGCAGCAGAGAATATGTACTACTTCTCCTCGCTTGCCTTGACACTCAATGAACCCGAGGAGGGGGTGGCATTGACGGACAGTCGGTGGCGCCCTGACCAGCGGTTAATGGAGGAAGGCCGCTGGGAGGAAGCTAACGCAGAGAAGCAAAGACTGGAAGAGAAACAGCGTTCTGTTCGTCGAGAAAGAGAAAGGGAAGCTGTTAAAGCGTCCAGCACACCCGAGGAAGGTACCAAACTATGTAGAGGCCTTTTCTTCCTGGTGTTTATTTTTCATGTTTCTGTTCGATGTTTCACCGTCATTTCAGCATTTTGTCTCTTTGCCTCGACGATACATCATCTATTCAATTTTAGCCACATTTACCCTATGGTGACGCGGTCAGGCCCTAATAGGATCATGGTGTTGTGCGTGCGGACCATACACACGGTCACTCTCATGACTCTGATTGGCCTGGCGGTGTGCAGTCAAGGCACCCGACTGAACTGAACTAAACTGGTTTTAGACAAAGGGATTGTAACATTTAAATCACACCCTGACTAAGCTCGGGTAGAAAAAGCCAGCAACGGCAACCCGAATCATCCTCTGACTGCAGCTCGGACTGGGCGGAGCTGCGGCGGCAGCTCGATGACTAACCGTCTCGGGGAGGAGCCCACGGCAGCACCGCTTCTTGTCAGAGTCTCCCAAAGTGACACTGCTCACCCCTGCCCAGGTCGAGCTGACCATAGTGTAAATACGCCATCATTGCTGTTTAAAAAGAAACTGCTTTTAAAGTAATCTACTGCTAAGTATGAGTTGTACAGCAGCAATGGGATCAGTGGTGAAAAGGCCTCAGTCTGGTTTCATCATTTAAAAGCTAACATCCATCATAGCGTTCTTGTCTGTGTAACCACGGTGCATTATCTTCATCCATGTTTGTTCCATGTAGCTGATGCACAGGAGCCTGGCGCCACAGCAAGTGAGGTTTCTGATGAAAGCAAGTATCAAAATCAAAATGATATTTTTAAAAGTGCTCTGTGCAGCATACTTACCAGAGTGGTGAGAAAGGGCTGTATAACAAATAAAACCTGGGTAAATTCAGAAGTCGTGTTGGAAATGGACTTCGGACGCATGCAACACACGGCACTTTTAGAAATGAAACAGCAGAAGTTGTGTGAATTTAGTTAGTGACTCTTGGTTTGTTTTTATGCTGGGGCTTGCTCAGCTGATACAAAGGACCCCCCCCCCCCCCCCCCTTACTCCTGTTGCATGCAAGTATCTTCTGACAGTTTCACTCATTAGCCACGTTTGCATGCGCACAATTAATCAGATTGAACGCCAAATCAGATGAAAAATTCTGCACATAAACATGTCAATCGAACTATTCTGATCCGATTCGGCCCGATCGGAACGAAATTCCAATCCGACAGAGAGGTGGCTTTGTCCGATCATCAGTCCGATTGATGTGCATGTACACAGCCATTCAGGTTGCTGGAGAAAAACAATGCCCACTGCGCATGTGTGCAACAGCCAGCGAGCCTCCCCGCCGTCATTTACACTGCCTGACTTCAATAAATGACGGCCTAATTGACGGGTGTCGGCTTTTAAATATGATGGCAAGCGTCCCCGTTTCTATAATATCTCATCCAGAACTTACATTTTGTGGAAGTAAAATAAAAATCTGATTATTGCACAAATCATTGACAAACATGTTCAAGTCTGTACTGGAAACTAGGGTTGTCACGGTAACTGGTGTAGCGGTTACCATGACTGGTAAAAAAAGTTGATAACAATAATAACTGTCTTGTTTTTTAAAAAACTATATTATCTCGGTGGATTACCGTGACTGCGGTGTAGGCGCGGTGACCCTTACCAGCCACCGTATCATCTGCTGAAGTTGCTGGCGGCACATGCAGAGCCGTGTCCAGGACTTTTAAAATGGGGTGGCCCATGTGGGGCACTTGTTTATGCATGGGTGGCACCAATGGTTATGCTTATTTGTATTTACACAAATCGTTAATTTAGTTATTTTTTTACTTTCTAGTGAGTTTTTGAGTTTCACATTGCACAATCACCATTTTTTCCTCTTCATCTTCTAGTTTTGTGGTGGTTAGCAAGTCACCTCTTGTTGCATTACTGCCACCAACTGGAGTTGAGTGGGACTCTAAATACTATTTATGTAAATATGAAAAAATAAATAATATTAATACTACAGAAATGTTCTGTAGGTCTGGGCTATTAAACAATGTTAAAGGTGCATGCTACTACCACACTATTTTGGAGTTTACAACCCAAGCCTTTTGTCAACAATGTAAAGTCAATTTAAACTGGAACTTGGTAGGATGGCACCTGGAGTGGCCAATCAGATTCTAAGGGTGGCATGTGCTACCCCAGGCCACTCCCTGGACACGCCCCTGGGCACATGCACACTTTGTTGTTTACAACCAAAACTTTCTTGAAGCTAAAGCTGAAATAATGGCCAAAGGAGGAGACGGCAGCGATCAGGACATTTATTATCCCTCAAAGAAGACAAAGTGGGAAGTACGGGCATCTTTTGGATATTTGAAGAATGCCGAGGGACAGTTGATAGAAGACGGCTATCCTGTTTGCAGCACGTGCAGAAAAAGTGTCTGTGAAAGGCAGCAACGCTTCAAATCTCATGATACATCTGCGTGACCATCACCCACAACTCTACAGTCAACGCAAGGCAAGCTAACGTTAGCGTTTTAGCTAAAATGCGTGATCCGAGGATTTGGGTTGAGGGAGAATGCAACGAGTCGCTATATAAAGCAGCCGCAGCGCCGCTACCTGCATATAAACGTGTCGCGGACACCGCCATGTTGAAATGACGCTATGCATTACGGGGCTCCCAGGGGCAGATAAGAGTTGGTCTCTCTCCGAGAATAATTATGAATTTAACAATGATTACTGCCTGATGACATTTTCCCACATCTGCAAAGCTCACTGGAACACAAACCGAGGACAATATTTTCCTGATATAGGGTTTATTACTCAAGTAAGGGTAAAAAAAGTATCTGATTAGAAGGCTACTTGAGTACTGAGTATCATCTGGTCTAATATTTTTTAAATGATGACATCAAACAGACATAAAATAAGAAGTTATGGGCAAATATTGGTATTTTAAACACTAAAGGGAAAAAATGTAAACAAATAAACAACATAATTACAAAATAACACATTTTAGGCAAAATTTAGACACAAACTGAGGACGATATTTTCCTGACATAAAGGGTTTATTTAGTTGTGTGAAAATATAGCATGTTTAAAAAAAATACCGCGATAATACCGAAAACCGTGGTAATTTTGGTCACAATAACCGTGAGGTTACATTTTCACACCGTGACAACCCTACTGGAAACATGCAGATTCATTTCAGGTTTGCAGCACGGTCCCTGTTTCTGTGAAGCAGCAGCTGTTTCTGCAGCAGGTGCTCGTAAAGAAGACGGTAACATCAGTTAAACGGACCCGGTTTGGGCTTAAAGAGGCTGATGTTGAGTAGAAAAACATCCTCAGTTAAATATTCTGGGTGACTATCTGTGTAAAAGCATGTTAACGCAGATGAGATGCAGTTTGTTTATTAAAGCTTGATGAACACAGGCTTCTAAACTTTCTGAACATCTCCTGTTATTTAGTTTGAACCAAGTTTCAGCTGATTGGCACATTTTATTAATAATAAGCCACAATAGAGCTCAGTAATAAACATGAGTCTGAACCCCCCACCCCCGCTCTGCAGCGCTGCGCGTCAGACCCGCGGGACAGCTGATCAAGAGGCAGAGACGAGGATAACCCTCCCTTATTTTAATATTGTCAACAATAAAACACAGCAAAGCAAATATCTGCACTTATGCACTGAAGAAACCCTAACGTCTATGAGCAAAAAAAAAAAAAACATGACATTGATTAAATGAATCAGGAAAGCAGGAAGAATTGTTTTTTTTTCTGTTTTTACATTTTTCATTTAGTTTCATGACGTTTATTAACTTTTTTTTCTGGGAAAGAAAACTGCACATGCTCAACCTATTTAATCTGTTGGAGTACTTGGTGCATATAAACTCACGGCATGATTCGATCCTTTCAGTTAGTGTATGCATGTAAACAGAGATTCAGGATTTCCGACCAAGATTTGAATCGGATTGGAGAAATGTATCGCATCATGTAAACGTGGCTACTGTTCTCTGTAACTATAATATTTAAGTTTTCCATTTCAAAAACCCCCAAAACATTTATTCTTTGTTTTTCCCTTCAGTCCCTCACGGATCACCAGTCTCTTCTTACATAAGCAAGTATTTTGAAAACACGAGACTAGCAATAAAATGACGTCTCTCTTTCCTGTAATTTAGTCAAATCTAGATTAGAAAAGCCTTCTTGAGATTTAAACAATTCACCTAATGTCCTCTTTACACATTTTATGATGTGCTGTTTGTTAGTGGAAGGCAAAGAAGGTCCTTATAGAGCTCAAGTCAAAAGCAAGTGTCATCTGCCCTGCCCTCCATTATCAACTGTCCCGTAGAGCGGCTGAGAAGGACTAAAATCCAGAGTAGTCCCATGTGTTTTGATTGAGACTGGCCTTTGTGTGTTAAATAATTTAGAGTTCAAATCAAAAATCAGTTGGTTTTTTTTTTTGTCTGAATTAGGAATTGACTGATAGCGTGGTAAGTCGTCCAATGGCTACAACCTGTAGACAGAGCTGAGTCGATGGGTGGAAGCTACGGTTGTCTTTCAGACCGTCTTCACACACAATTGGACAGGGCTAGGACCAGAGCAATGAACAACATGACATATTCATTGCTACAAAGATGTGTCAACAGTGCGAGTTCGCCATTAAGTACCTCAAAGAAAAGACCAAGTAGAAATAAACCATAGTTAATGCCAAAGCTGTTTGAAATGAGTGCTGCTCCTGAGCTGACACCATCTTTGTAGCTTTTCTCCATCGCAGCTCTGGTGCTAAGTCTGCCCAACATCTCTATAAAATGGAGCGCTGTGACTGGCCTGACCTAAAATTGTTTGAGCCAATGGTAGACCTGCTGAGGCTACAGTGGAGCGTGGCTAGACCAACGTGCAGAGCAAAATCTCTTGCTGCAGGTTTGTCTAGACTTCTAGGCTTACATACCTATTTAATAGAGCTGATTTAAAGTCAGGCACAGCCATGGACAGCCCTTTAACACTGTTAAATTCGGAGTTCAGAAATGTTGTCCTCCTACTGTTATTGGAGACATTTTAGCCTGCAGGCAAGGCAGAAACCATCTAAATGTGTGCCTGAATTGGCCCAAAATCAACAGGCCGTTGGCTGACCATGACCTCTGCATATCTGCATCTGCATAGAAACCCCATATCGGTCAATCTCTAATCTGACCAAAACACAACCATGATTGGCTTTTCTAGTGGTCACTTCAGGTTAGTGCAAATTCTCCTTTTGCTAAAGTATTTTGTCTCCACTACTTTTCAGATGCCCATCCAGACAGCTACCAGGCGCTGTGGTTTGAGAAGATTCACGACTCCGTATCGGGAGAGACGCTGCATGTCTACAAGGGAGGTTACTGGGAGGCGAAGGATCAAGGAAGCTGGGAAATGTGTCCAGATATCTTCTGATCACACCTAAAACCAGTTGCAGGACAGAAGACAGTCAGCAGCAGGGCCCTTCCTTCACTTTGCTGAATAAGTCATGAATCAAGCCTTACGTGAATCATAGCGTCATCGCGACACTCCTTCCTGCTGGATCAGGGCCGTTTGGGCTCCACTCCTGTTGCATCGTTGTGATGTTTAGAGCTCCTTCTCACTGCCTCACAAACTTGTCCCCTGCTTGCTTCCAGTGTTTCAGGTCCAGTTCTTGAATGAAGTACATTTTCCTCACTAGCTGATTCATCTGAGGCAGAATTTTCCCTGACGATGTGTGATTATATTTGTTTTTGTTAATAGAAGGAAATGGCTCTTTACATGTGGCGGTGTTTCCCAAATGTTGGAAAACAAACTACGTCGTTTTTGGTGTCACAAACCAACAATGCAGCAATTTTCTTTGAATTTCTGGCGACTTCTGGTGCTACTCTAGTGAAGCTCTGCCACTGGAGACGTAGTCAGTCTGTATATTCATCTTTTACTTTTATTCCTTACAGACATAATCCTTTATTTTAGAAAGTATGACATGGAAGTGATAAAATATAGTTGCTCTGCTTTGATTGCAGTCATTTTAAACCACCACATATTGCATATCCCTTATTTATGTTGTGGCATTTTCTTTGTTTTTGTGTAAAAATGTTTATGCAAAAATCCGAATTTTTCATTATAATTTCATTTTCAATATGATGAAATACTGTTGGATAAGTTGACCAATTTTTGCAAACAAGAAATCGTTCCAGACCCATGAAGATACTTGTTACACTGAATATTATCAGCCCTGAAAACTTGGTTTTCCTCCAACCGATCACTTTAAACCGTGTTGTAGATGAGATCCTGGTCAGATGACATGATTTTTAATGCATAATTGTCATATTTAGCATTAAATGTGTGACACACACATCCTTTAACTGCAGATATTTGTTTTTCACATACAGATCTGTGTGCTGAATATTACTCACTTCATTATATGTGAAGTGTACACTAACACTTCAAACTAATATTTTGTTTTTGTTTCTTTGCCTTTATTCTTTAAACGTTCTGATCATAGCATTTTTTAACTTTTTTTGAGGAGATGTTAGTGTTTTGTGCTTTAAAATAATCTGTTATTACCAAACAGCAATAAGAGTGTCTCATCTCAGGCCTTTAAACTGAGATGAGTGGAAAACCTGACTGAGAAAACTAAAGCTGCAAAGTTTCTGTTCCATTTCTTTGTCACTGTTATGCATGATGAGAGGAAGCAGTGTGTGGTTTATATAAAGAGAAATATATATTTGATGTTCAAGTGTACTTAAAATGAGATGACAACTAAACTTGTTGCAAGTACTTCTATGTAAATATAACAAATGTGCAGTTTTTGAATTGCTCTAAATGCAAAGAAGCACTTTAAAGATTTATTTCATCTTTGATTTGCCTTTACAAGCTAAAGTGGGTTTCTAATTCAAATTGAAAAAATTACAGGATTCTTCTGCAACATTTGGTTAGATGTATTAAGTACATTTTCAGAAATAACTGCGTTTACAAGTTTTGTCTCTTGTTTTGTGTTACTTTGAGTTTGTGTTTTAGTTGCCCTCGTACTGTGGAGGTTGTCACTTTCCTTGATGCCACAATTTCTTACTGCTCTTTAAAAGACAAGGTGTTCTTGCACTTAGCACAGTACCTACGTGTTTTCAGATATAATATAACTAATAAATGATGATCTCCCTTTGTTGGTTTCCAAATAGTTTTTTAGATCAACCCTGACATCTTCCTGTCACGCGGTGATGATTCTAACCACTGACCTGTTGGTCATAAGGCCGTTTTTTTTCCCAATGATCTGAGGTCTATTATATGTACACACAGGACTGCATGTTGACCTAAACTTTTGGTGAATTTGGTCAAAATTCGACAGAACATCTCAGCACAAACAAATAACTATCAAGCGCAAGGGTGGAGCGGTGATCACCTGGGATTTTTTATAGTAACATTATTGACACATTGCTGACTTTTAGCCAAGCACTAATTCTCATAAATGCCAAACATGAGTTAAAAGTGGACAATAATAGCCATTTTTGTATGTGCTACAGTAATATTGAGTTTCACCAGTAGCGGTTCGAGGGGGGTGGGGGGTCCAGTGGAGGCCGATGCCACCCTCATAGCAAGCCAGGCTTGAGGGCCGTGCCTAATCATTAATTTTTTTCATTCTTTGTTATAATTTCACTTAATGCAACATGTAGAATCTCCATTGTGTTTATATTGAATTAAATGTCAGAATATTTACTTAGTGGCGTTACCTCAGATAGGGTGCTCTTATTTCTACTTTAGTTTATTTTACTTTTAAGATTAAATGTTTCTGAAAAATGCAACAATATTGTAAGGAAGAATCATATATTCACGAAATGGTGTAATGCAATAGCGAACAACTCAAGTCTTATGACTGAGGATCATGCCTGAAGTTTGGAAATTTATGGGCTTTCGCGGTGGTTTCGCCGCCCTCCTCTCCCTGCCCCTCTTGAAAAACAAGCGCACCTCTGCGTGACATCAGCATCTTTGTTTATCACGGCGGCAGGGAGGAGCCGCCGCTACTGCCTGAACAAGTATCCTGGTAGTCTTTTATCAGCTCTCTGGCACTCTGGGCGTACAATTTCGCTGTTCGGTGCACCTATTTCTGTCCCAAAGAAATATGTCGGCCAATGGAAGTGAAGCCGGAGCGGACTGTACGGACGCGAGGCAAAGCGGCAGAGAGCAGTAAGTAACGAAGCTAGTAGCGACCTTTAGCCTCAGCAGCAGGTTAATATTTCTACTGCGGTGAAGTTAGCTTGAAGTTGGACGTTGGATATTCGACAGACATTGGTTTACACGGTCAGCGATAAGCCTTCATGCCGTGCACTGCGGCACAGACAGCGGTAACCTGAGTTCCGAGGACTCGCTAATGGGAACGGTGGTTCACTTAGGGGCTATCAACAAATTTGTAGTCCGTTGTAAACGAGTACAAAAAAATTAAAAGCTTCCAGAATAACTTGCTAAATGACTCAATTACTTCTGACTTGTGTTACTAAGCTACATTTACAAGACACAACAGTTTTAACACATTTCACACAATCTGATCTTTTTTATTAGGATTTTATTCCAAAATCAAGGGATTTTTTTTCCAATAGCTCCTAGGTAAATTTGTCTAAATCCACAAAACCATTTCTCAATGATGTTACTAAGCCAGACCGATGAGACACAGCAGTTTTCATCACATTTCACAAGATCTGATCTTTTTAATTAGGATTTTCATGAAAATTTCTGTGATTTCTTTCAATACCTCTTAGGTTAATTGATTTTAATAACCTAAACCATTTTTCAACGATGCTACTACGCCAGACCAATACGACACAGCAGTTTTTATAACATTTCTCAAGATCTAACCTTTCTTATTAGGATTTTTATCAAAAATTAAGTATTTTTTGTCAATAGCTCCTTGGTAAATCAGTCAAAAAACTCAAAACCATTTCTCAGTGGTGTTACTAAGCCAGACCAATGAAACACTGCAGTTGTTTTCACATTTCACAAGCTCTGATCCTTTCTATTAGAGTTTTTATTAAAAAATAAGTGATTTATTTCAATAGCTCTTAAGCTAATTGCTGTAAATACTCAAAACCATTTCTCAATGCTCAGCAACACAGCTTCAGGCTATTGCAATTAAAATCTTTGACCTCAATCAAACCTCTCCTCCCACAAATTCTTAGGTGGTATGCTCTTCTTCCTCCTGTCTTGGAGTGGGGTTCTCGTCGATGGTAACCTTTCTCAATCAGAACATCCCTCGTCACCACCTGGCTTGATATCAAGTTGTAGTCAAAGTTGTAGTCAATCGCATTGGTACGCAGTCCATTTCATTTCAGTTGGCCTCGTGTTTCAGGTGAGCATTTTCATCAGTAAGTGACGAGGCCAAATTCTCTCTAGTCATGTGCCACGATGGGGTTTATGTTTTAGTATTTCACAAAGACAAACATCACAGCCACCAAGGCTCTGGTCAGCACATTTGGCGAGATGAGTTTGGGGTCCTTGCAGTTCTTGAGCAGCATCCGGCCTCTGGTGGTCTTAGTGTTCAAGGGCGAGGTCCATGGTTTTCATTTGTATTTCTTTCTAGCTGAAATGGCTATCGCGTATTTCCTTTATGTAGTAGTTGAGGTAGGAAACTACTATATGACACCTCTAGGGGGAGCCAGTGCTCCATTCTGGTAGTACTGTTTTAGCTAGGTCCGGGGCACTTCCGGTTGTGGGGGTGTAACGTAAGCTGTGGTGCTTTCGGTGTGATGAGCAATAAACGAGGTTCAACCAAGACTCTACTCTCTGGATGTAATTGTGTCTACCTGAGGATATTACACAATTGGCGACGAGGATAAAGTCTGGTGTGGTTCTCTGCGTCGGGAATAGACGGCCAGTCGGTCCGGACGTGTTGGGAGCGGGACATCTACTCGCCTTTGGACGACACAAAGGGGGAAAATGGCGGCGGTGATTGGGTCGGTGAGTCCGTTTGACGGCGACTTACAGTCATGGGAAGAATATAGCGAAATGCTTGACTTTTTCTTCGAGGCTAATGAGATAACGGATACTGATAAGAAGAAAGCTGTGTTGCTGAGCGGTGTAGGTCCGGCTACCTACAGCTTGTTAAGAAACCTGTTGAGCCCGGAGGCACCGAAAGACAAGACGTATGTACAGTTGACGCAGACACTGCGGTTGCATTTCAGTCCTAAACCAAGTGAGATTGTACAGAGGTTTAAGTTTAATTCACAGGTGCGGCGGCATGAGGAGTCGGTGGCAGATTATGTGGCTGAGTTGAGGAAACTGGCCCAGCACTGTGACTATGGAGCGGCTTTGCCACAAATGCTGAGGAACAGGTTGGTGTGTGGAGTGAATGATGACAGGATGCAGCGCCGGCTATTATCTGAAGTGGACCTGACGTTTGACAAAGCTCTTACGTTGTGCCAGGCCATGGAGTCTGCCTCTAAGGATGTTCGGGACTTGCAGGAGATATTGGGGGACGAGGTGACTCCAGCTTCTCGTGTGTCAAGGAGTCAGGGGACAGTCCACAAGATTTTAATGGACAAGGCTCAGCTGAAAAGTCTGAGCTGTTTTCGTTGCAACGGCCGACACTTGGGCACTGAGTGCAGGTTTGCAGCTGAACGATGTCACGGTTGTGGCAAGAGGGGTCACATTAAAAGAGCCTGCAGGTCCAAGTGGGGTCCTCAGGAGAAACAAAAAAAGGGGCCCCTGAGCAAAAAGGAGGGACGGAGAGACCCAAATAGAGGCAGTCAGACGCATTTGTTGAGAACAGAGGGGGGGAGTGACGCTGAAGAATCTGATGGCATTAATACCATTTACAATGTGTCGGGTGGCCTACCAAAGGTCGCTCCCATCACTCGCATGGTCAGCATAAATGGCTTGGCCGTACTGTTTGAGATAGACACAGGATGTGGGGTGACCATTTTGAGCAAACAATATTCTCTGCTTTGTAACAAAACTGCCAAATCGGGTCTAAGCCCATGCTCACTAATCTTGAAAACGTATACAGGGGAAAAGCTGGGAGTCCTGGGAATGGCGCAAGTGGAGGTAGAGGACCGGAATGCTCGTAAAACACTACCTTTGGTTGTAGTGGATGGGGCTGGACCAAACCTGCTGGGGCGCAGCTGGTTACAGGAGCTGTCGATGGCAGAGCAGCTGGTAAACAACGTAGGGCTGGCGCCCACAGAAACCAGATGGATCCATTAGAATTTGTGGGGATTACAAACTCACAATCAACCAGGCTTCCAAGTTGGAACAATATCCTATTCCAAGGGTGGAGGATCTTTTTGCACAGTTATCAGGGGGACAGTATTTTACAAAACTGGACATGAGTCATGCCTACCAACAGATTGTGTTGGACGAGGGGTCCAGGAAATATGTCACCATTAACACACACAAGGGCCTTTACACATACACCAGGCTGCCATTTGGGGTGGCCTCCAGTCCTGCCATCTTCCAGCGAACGATGGAGAGCATATTAGGAGGAATTCCGAATATCACAGTGTATCTGGATGACATACTCATCTCAGGGCCAAGTGAACAAGAACATTTAAAAAACCTTGATGAGGTCCTCCTAAGGTTGGGAAATAGTGGGTTAAGATTAAAAAGAAGCAAGTGTGAGTTCATGGCCAGGGAAGTGGTGTTCTTGGGGCACAGAATAAATGCGGCAGGATTACATCCTCTGAGAGAAAAGGTGGAGGCCATCGCAAAAGCTCCAGCACCACAAAATATCACGGAGTTAAAGGCGTACTTAGGACTCTTAAATTATTACCACAGGTTCCTTCCAAACCTATCCACGCTGCTAGCTCCTCTACACCTACTGCTGAGGAAGGAGGTGAAATGGTCATGTGGGCCAAAACAACAGAAAGCCTTTGAAGAGTCCAAGTCTCTGTTGTAATCTTGCAAGATATTGGTACACTATGATGCGGGAAAGCCCCTCCTCCTAGCATGTGACGCATCACCCTATGGAGTGGGGGCGGTGCTCTCTCACCAGTTGGCCGATGGCTCGGAAAGACCCATAGGATTTGTGTCTCGAACGCTCAATGCGGCGGAAAAAATTATTCACAGTTGGATAAGGAGGGGTTGGCGGTACTGTTTGGGGTGAAAAAGTTCCACAAGTACTTGTATGGGAAACATTTCACCATTACAACAGACCACAAGACGTTAATTTCACTTTTCAGCGAGCTTAGGGCTCACCTCGCATCCAGAGATGGGCAGTCACGCTTGGGGCATACGATTACACCGTTGTGTATAAGGAAGGGAAGAATCATACCAATGCAGACGCCCTGAGCAGGTTGCCGTTGACTGAAATGAGCGAGGGGGCTGACGCAGGCTCAGAGGAGGGGGAACGGGTCCTGCTGTTTGAGGACAGTGACACATCCCTGGTGACTGCACAGCAGGTGAAACTTTGGACAGACAAAGACCCTGTGCTGGCTCGGGTGCGAGAGTACATATTAAGAAGGTGGCCTCGAAAGGTAGAGGACGTGGTATTTTTACCTTACGTCAGGAGGAGCTCAGCACACAGGAAGGCTGCATATTGTGGGGAGGGCGTGTAGTTATTCCTCCACAAGGTTGAGTACGTCTGCTGAAACAGCTTCATCGCATCCATCCAGGAATGACCAGGATGAAAGGGTTGGCACGCAGCTACATGTGGTGGCCAAACTTGGATGAAGAGGTGGAGTTGCTGCTGAAGGGTTGTGCCGTGTGTCAGGAAAACCGAAATAATCCCGTGATGGCACCTTTACACCCCTGGGAGGTGCCTGAAAACCCCTGGAGGAGGGTCCACGTGGATTATGCTGGGCCATTCATGGGCAAGTGGTTCTTAATTGTGGTGGATGCGTATTCGAAGTGGATTGAAGCGCACGTGGTAAACAGGTCTACATCAGCTGTGACCATTGAGTGCCTCAGCCAGAGTTTTCGTCACCATGGCATTCCTGAAATAATCGTGTCCGACAGTGGCCGCTGTTTTACCAGTGAGGAGTTCCAGGAATTCACACAAAAGAATGGGATCCGCCACATCACCACAGCCCCATACCATGCTTCTTCGAATGGGTTGGCAGAGCGCGCCGTTCAGACTTAAGTCATTTATGAAAAAAAGCACAGGGGGGTCAGTGGAGACTAAAATGGCCCGAGCTCTGTTTTGTTATCGCATTACTCCTTAGTCAACAACAGGCAAATCACCAGCTGAACTTCTATGCGGAAGGAAACTAAGATCAATTTTGGATCTCATACACCCCTATTTCAAAGGCAGACTGATTGGTAAACAAGGGAAGCAAAACTATTATCATGACATGCATGCCAGGGACAGGACGCTGGATAAAGGAGATTTGGTCTACACTCGGAACTTTGGTTCGGGTCTACGCTGGGTTCCGGGGGCTGTTGCTGCGATGACGGGTCCTGTCTCATGCAAAGTCACACTAGGAAATGGGAATGTGGTGAGAAGACATATCGATCAGGTGTGTCATAGGTCGCCCCTATCGGAAATAACCGAACATGTTCTGGTGTTGTCTCCTGTCCTGAATGGCAGCACAGCCGCAACGGAATCAGCCAGCCAAGTGGACTTGGACGATCCATTGACAACAGCATCGTGGCCGGAGAGGGTAGAGGCGTTGCCGGCAGGGGAACAACCTGAAGTGAGGAGATCGCAGAGAAGCAGGAGGCCTCCTGCGTATTTGAGTGACTATTCTTAGATAGTGGTGAGCTCCACGGCAAGGGCAAGAATGCGCCCTGGAAGCTCGCTGGGATGAGGTGGTCCACCCGAATTCCCTAGTTAGTTAAGTGGGAGTGCCATGTGAAACTGTTGTTTGTTCTTGCTGTATGTTACATAAGGTCTACTATATAGAAAAAAATTTTTTTTTTTTTGCTACCCATAATAATACTCGCATAGTTACAGGGTTGTTACGGTTTGTGGTTGTTTTTCTGTGTGTGGGTTTTAGCTTAGGGGGAATGGTGTTATTTTTCATCTTTGTTTTTGTCTGGGGGGGGTGGGGTGGGGGGGGGGGGTGTAGTAGTTGAGGTAGGAAACTACTAGGGTTGTCACGGTATGAAAATTTAACCTCACGGTTATTGTGACCAAAATTATCACGGTTTTCGGTATTATCGCGGTATTTTTTAAACGGTGTTGCATATGTTCAGAAAGCATTGATAGTCCTGTTCTACACAAACTGAAATAGTTCAGAAAAGGTTTAACAGTGTTTATTAAACCTAAAATAACACAAAGCCTTAGTAAAAGTGCAACTTTTCACAAGTAAAGGAACAAATAGCTTCTTTTTCTGGAACATGTTACAGTAGTCAGTGCAGGTTTAAATGATACAAATCCAAACATTCGAAACATAAACAATATGTAAACAAATCAAAGAAACACCACTTGTTTTCTCATATACTTGTTTTCTTCATTATCAAAATGAAAATCTAAAACTCCAGTCCACACTTGACTTGAGCACTGTACAAGTCAACCTTAAAAAAATATGTATTTAAAATAAATAGCCACTTTAAACAAATTACTAAAATAACTACTACACTATGTAATCAAATCCAAACGTTCAAGTATAAATGGCATTGAATAAGTAAACAAATCAATGACAAGGAACTAATTGTATATTTCTCTTCATCATCAACAAATAAGATGCTTCATCCAGCAACAGGGTGTCCGTGACACGGTTTAAATGCTGGCAGAGGACGCTGCGGCTGCAGTATATAGTGACTCGTTGCATTCTCCCTCAGCCAAAAGTCCTCACGTCATGCATTTAAGCTAAAATGCTAATGTTAACCTACCTTGCACTGGCTGTAGAGATGTGGGTGATGGTCACGCAGATGTGCCATTAGATTCGAAGTGTTGCTGCCTTTTGCAGACACTTGTTTCCTGCACGTTCTGCAAACGGGATAGCCGTCTTCTATTAACTGTCCCTCAGCGTTTTCAGAAATCCAAAATATGCCCATACTTCCGATTTAGTCTTCTTTGAGGGCTGATGGATGTCCTGGGCGCTGCCGTCTCCTCCTTCGGCCATTATTTCAGCTTCAAAGTTTTGGTGCCGTTGCAAACTAAAAAGTGCGTGTGCGCGCCGCGGGAACTTCAGCTGAAGCGACGGTGGCTGGTAAGGGTCATCGCGCCGAAACCGCGGCCACGGTAAACCCACCGAGATAATATAGTTTTTTAAAAACTGGACGGTTATTTTTATTGTCAACTTTTTTACCGGGGTTTACTGCTATACCGGTTACCGTGACAACCCTAGAAACTACTATATGACACCTCTAGGGGGGAGCCAGTGCTCCATTCTGGTAGTACTGTTTTAGCTAGGTCCGGGGCACTTCCGGTTGTGGGGGTGTAACGTAAGCTGTGGTGCTTTCGGTGTGATGAGCAATAAACGAGGTTCAACCAAGACCCTACTCTCTGGATGTAATTGTGTCTACCTGAGGATATTACACTTTATGTCCTCCAGAAGCGAGGGCCCAACTTATCTTTTGACTCAACTGTTGGGAGAGAGAGACAACAATTTGCCTGAAGATGGATGTTTAAGATGTCCCTGCCCAGAGTGCATAACCTCACCCAAGATGCTGATGAAGACATTTACAGCTTTCATATTACATAAGGTGATGGGGATCAGCCTTAGCTTTTAATCCTTTTTTACAAAATTCCTCAAAAAAAAAAAGGTTGGATCTTGTGAAATGTTATGAAAACTGCAGTGTCTCATTAGTCTCCACTCAGGGTCCAAAATTAACACCCGCCACTCGCCAAATGCGAGCAAATTGCTCCATTTGGCGAGTAAATTTTTGAGCTCTACCTGCCACCTGGCGAGTAAATGTTTGCACCAAATTAGTTATGTTTATCAGTCATCTTCCATGGATTTCTGATACTCCTCCCACCTGCATGTAACGTACACAAACGTACGCGAAACGTGAGCGCCGCATCCAACGTCATTTCCACCTATCCCATTCTATCAGTTTATCAAGTTAGCAGTTAGTTTCGTGTTAAAACTAGCGGTGAAATGTGGCGGTTTTTAACTGGAGTCAGCCAGCCTTCCAAAAGAAAACTCGTCGAACTGGATGAAAAACCACCAGGACCAGTAGCAACCAGAAAATTTTGTGAAAAGTGGCAAACTGGAGATGGCGGAGTCGTGAGACAATGGCTACATTATGATGGCCACGTAGCGTTACTGCCTTTCACAGACAACTGTCCCTCGGCATTCTTCAAATATCCAAAAAATGCCCGTACTTCCGACTTTGTCTTCTTTGAGGGATAATAAATGTCCCGAGTGCTGCCGTCTCCTCCGGCCATTATTTCAGCTTTAGCTTAAAGAAAGTTTTGGTTGTAAACAACAAAGTGCTCATGTGCCGCCGGCAACTTCAGCAGATGATACGGTGGCTGGTAAGGGTCACCGCGCTTACACCGCAGCCACGGTAATCCACTGAGATAATTTTTTTTTAAACAAGACTGTTATTATTATTGTCAACTTTTTTACCGGGGTTTACCGCTACACCAACCCTAGCCCTGACACACTTTCAGATATTCTCATGGTGCAGCTGTGTTCTCCAGAGATCAAGAACTATGACCCAAATGAGGCTGTAATGCTTTGGCACAAAGACGGTGTCAGAAGTAGGAGGCCAGACTTCATGGACAGAGAAAACAAGGAGTCTGACTAGATTTCAATGAAAGAGTTCATAAAAACATCTCTAAAAATAAATAAATAAATAAATAAATAGTAAAAATGACAAAAGAGTTGTTTTTCTTATTAATTGATGTTTTAATTATTTTGTCACTGTTTGGAATCAACATAATATAGAATAACATGCTTTAGGTAGATCTAAATCATTTAGAACTTTGGCCGGTAAAAAATATGCTTGGCCGGTAGATTTTCATCATCTACCAGCCAACTTGGCCGGTGAGTAAAAAATTTAATTTCGGACCCTGGATACACATCATTGAGAAATGGTTTTGAGTATTAAAATCAATTAACCTAGGAGCTGTTGAAAGAAATCAATTAATTTTTGATAAAAGTCCTAATAAAAATGATCAACTCTTGTTAAATGTGATAAAAACTTCTGTGTCTCAGTGGTCTCTCCATTAGTGACATCATTGAGAAGTCGTTTTGAGTTTTTTGACTGATTTACCTGGGAGCTATTGATGAAAATTACTTAATTTTTGATAAAAATCCTAATAAGAAAGGTTTTATCTTGAGAAATGTTATAAACACTGCTGTGTCGTATTGGTCTGGCGTAGTAGCATAATTGAAAAATGGTTTTGGTTATTCAAATCAATTAACCTAAGAGGTATTGAAAGAAATCACATAATTTTTCATGAAAATCTTAGTGAAAAAGATCAGATCTTGTGAAGTGTGATTAAAAACTGCTGTGTTTCATTGGTCTAGTTTAGTAACATCATTGAGAAATGGTTTTGGGTATTAGAGCAATTAACACAGGACCTATTGAAAAAAATCCCTTAGTTTTTGATAAAAATTGTAAGAAAAAAGATCGGATTGTATGAAATGTGATAAAAACTGCTGTCTCATTGGTGTAGCTTCGTAACATAATTGAGAAATGGTTTTGAGTAGTAACATCAATTAACCTAGGAGCTATTGAAAGAAATCACTTTATTATTAAGAAAAATCCAAATAAAAATGATCAGATCTTGTGAAACGTGCTAATAACTGCTGTGTCTCATTGACCTAGCTTAGTAACAACATTGAGAAATGATTTTGGGTATTTTGACTAATTTACCTAGGAGCTATTGAAAAAAATCCCTTAATTTTTGATTAAAGTCCTAATAAAAAATAAGAGTAAAAAATCTTCTTCCGGCTCTTGGAGAGTACAGATGCTTTTTTTTCCTCTCCCTCCCTCCTCATCCCAAGGCTCTTAGTCCTGTCTTGTGTGCACGGCACTTTCTGCATTTTGTCTGGAAACTGGAAATTATTAAAAATGGATCTGGTCAGTTGGTCTCTCAATGCCATTGACAAAATTTTTTCAACAATGAGAACAGGAGAAGGGGCTCCCGGATGCCCCTCTGGGACAGAGCTAGCTGGGTATATCATGGACTCCTGGAAAAAGTGGAACCTGATATGCCTCTCTCAACTGTCTGTAGAGGATTCTGAAGATGTCTGGATATTCGTCGTTTTGGTGTCGGGATTCCTGCTGTTTAGACTGAGCGGTTACCTGGCTTACCGGAAAATTAACGAGCTTTCGAGGAATATTGGCTCAATCCCGGAGCTCAGGGATGGAATGCTGTGCTGTGAACGCACAAACTCATATAATTGTCGAGATGAGTCGTAAGCTTGGAACTTTGGCTGAGCTTCAGCCTCTGGCACAGAAGGTGAATTCCATCAAGGAGCGAGTTGACAGATCAGCATGGATTGGGATAGATAAATTATGCCATTATTGGATCTAGAGGGGTTGAAAACCAACAGAACACTAAGGCAAAGGAAACTATCTCTGTCTGTCCCCAAAACAATTCTTATCTGAATCTGGTGCCCTTGGAGCCTGTGAGGCTGAAGTGTAAACTCCCCCCTCAAATGAAATGTGGAATGCTGCCGTCGCTATAGAAACTCTCCCTATCCCAGCCTGGGCGGGACTGTGACCGGTGAAGGCCGTGGAACCGTATCTAGGAGTCAAATGTGCCCTCTAACCCATTATCTCCCTCCCCTGTCCAAACGGAGGTGATGAGCGCTGCTCCTTGCAGCTGCAGGCACTGAAGTGAGGAGAGTCCCAACCCTACCTCCCCACCTAGTGGACACTTATGCTGTGTAATGTCTGAAATCTGTGTACATTTCTGTCCGAGGTGTTTTTTGAATAGCAAAGCTACCCTCTCTGTTGAGGGTAACGCCGGGGACACACCGGCCACTGAAGCGCCGCGAAATTAGGGCCGCCTTCATTCGGCGCCCTTGTTATTCTATTCTATAGACCACATGGGCCGCCGAAGCGCCGTGCAGCGATCGTTTCGGCGTCTGCTCTATTTTTTTCGTGAGCCGCGGGTGGACCACGTCAATTCTGGCAGGAAGTCAAACCTAGACATAAGAGGCAGGCCGGTAAATTCAACAAAGTGAAGCATTTCAAAATACAATTCCGCGATAGTCAAATGTGTTCATAAACAGACACTGCATAAAAACCACACGAACACACACACACACACAGCGAACTTGTGTGTGTGACCACGTGAAGGGGGTGTGGTTTTGGGTGTCTTTCAACCGGAGCAAACATTACAGAGAGGCAGAAAGTCGTAGGCCAGCTATTAAAAACTGGTTCACACCATAGGTTCACACACACACGTACAAACACACGCACAAACAGCAAGGGGGAGGGGGGTGTAGAGGAAAAGAGCAGAGAAAAGGCGCAGAGGAAACGGAGGACACCAAGTGGTTAAAAGAAAAACTACGAGGCGCACCTCGACCAGAGCAGAGAAGCAAGCATCTGGTCTGAACTGAGGAGCAGCGGCCGAATTTTGTGAGCGCTTTGCCTCCCGGTGCTTCGACGGGCGGTGTGTCCCCGGCGTAACTCTGAAGTGCCCCCCCCCCCCCGACTATATCCTCATAAACCCTCTTGATTTATTACGGCTGCACGACTCGGGTTGCGAATGACCACAGTCACCAATTCTTGTCATGTGTCTATGTATGTATGTCTGATCTCAGAATTGTGTGTACTTGAAACTCTAATTTCCCTCTGGGATTAATAAAGTCTTTTTGAATTTGAATAATAAAAAAGATCAGATCGTATGAAAGGTGTTAAAACTGCTGTGACTCATTGGTCTGGCTTAGTAACACAATTGAGAAATGGTTTTGTGGATTTAGACAGATTTACCTAGGAGCTATTGAAAAAAGTCCCTTAATTTTGGAATAAAATCCTAATAAAAAAGATCAGATTGTGTGAAATGTGTTAAAACTGTTGTGTCTTGTAAATGTAGCTTAGTAACGCAAGTCAGAAGTAATTTTGAGTCATTTAGGAAATTATTCTGGAAGTTTTTAACTTTTTTGTACTCGTTTACAAAGGACTACAAATTTGTTGATAGTCCCTAAGTGAACCACCGTTCCCATTAGCGAGTCCTCGGAACTCAGGTTACCGCTGTCTGTGCCGCAGTGCACGGCATGAAGGCTTATCGCTGACCGTGTAAACCAATGTCTGTCGAATATCCAACGTCCAACTTCAAGCTAACTTCACCGCGGTAATATTTCTTTGTTACGTCAGAGCAGAATAAACTCATCTTTCCTTAACTCTCATGATCAGTCGACCGTTTCACAAATGAAATGGATGCTCGTTAGTTCAACTCTGCTCACACTTTGTTGTTATTGGTTTTCTCGTTTTTCCACCTCTCCATAGTTAGCATCTCACTGTTTCTTTTACCTTAAGCCTTGTTTTTGTTTGTTTTCCTTCAGGCCAGCTGGCTTCTCTTCTGTTCCCATGGGAGTTGATGCTAAGTCCTCCTCCCACAGCTTCAGGTACAGCCTCCACTTCCCCAGCATAGGCCAGTGCGTCATCATCAACAACAAGAACTTTGACAAACGCACAGGTGATTGTTTTGGTCTAAAGTCTTTTTTTCTGTTATTTTTTCCATCAGAATGAAGCAGATCGCTATAAAACCTCAACAGCTAATGTAGAAATTAGTGGCTGACCGATATCTGTTTTTCTATTACCGATGTCGATGTAAAGGAGACATGGTCAGCCGATGGCCGATATGTACTGCCGATTTTCATGGCCCATATCTTGACGTTTTCCACCTCGTTTTCATGCTAAAGTGTCACTAATAACATCAGTTGTTGTACAAAATTTCTGAAACCGCATCAGTTTTTGAAATCTGAACTTAACTAGCTGTTAAATCTTAACTTTGTGCACTACTCAGTGTTAGTCAGACACTTCAATAAAGTTAATTTATTAGTGAACGTAAAAACACATTTAAATAAAATTTGATGCCGATGTATTAAAAAACGGTAAATATCGGCCTTCCCCACTCTTTTTCTCGAACAAAATCAGTAAAATTTATCTTCTGTGTTTAAAATTAGTAATAAAGTGACACTTTCTTATTGGTTTCTATTCCCTTTGTTTGACATCAGTGGGACTTGCTATTTGTGATTATTATTTTTTTATAAAGAGGTTTAACATTTTCAAAGGTCAAGCGCAGCTCTAGAAGCAGTTCCTCGTTAAAGCAGAGAGATTTAATCATCACGTTTGTGTTTGATAAACCGATAATTACCTATTGCTTTTGCACACTTTGTTATAAAAGTGTCATTATGAGTCTTGGTGTATTTACTTTTTGGGCTATGTGATGTTTGAACATTTCTTATGATTACAGCTGAACTACTACTGAGAACTTTAGAGTAAATGTTAGCCATACTTCAAGCTTTTTGAAGGTTAAAAATAATGACTTTGTCAGAGAGGAACAAACATCGGCCTTTTTATTAACTTAATTCATGACCTAATTATTACTTTATTACTGAGAGATGCACCCAGACTTGGGTTTCATCCACATTCAAAAGTTTTAATTTATGCTAAAAGCTAACGTTTTCTTTTTTTTTTCCCTTGTTCTAATTTGATTTTAACATTTCAAACACAAAATGATTATTTTTGCCCCAACATTTCTTTTTATTTGCCTGTTTTTTATTTCTGGCTGTCCTTACCGGGTCATAACTAGTCTCAGATTTGACTTTCCTTTGTGGATCAGTCATGCCATAAGTTGCTTTAATGCGTTTAAATCTACATTATTTTACAGTGAAGCAGATAAACCTTAAAGCTCTTCAACATCTTAAATATCACTTGTGTCATCACAAGTCGTTTTAAGGAAGCAGAGCCCCTTTTTTTGTCTGTCTCTACCTTCTCCTTTGTGTTTTGCTGGACTTGGGCCAAAAACGTCCAGGTGATCAGGTTCTGATGGTGACACCCTGTGCTCGGCGTTACAGCAGGTCAGTCATGTGTACTTAAAAGACATCAGAGCTAGCTGAAAGACTCAGGGTGGACGTGTCGTTGTGGAAACTGTAATAATTAATTAAATGCTCCATCTACATGTAGGCAGTAATAATGAGATAAAGCATCCATCTTTTATATTAGAGGTGTGTATTGGTAGCTGCCGCACGAACACACACACACACACACACAGCGAACTTGTGTGTGTGTGACCACGTGAAGGGGGTGTGGTTTGGGGTGTTTACTGTGGTTTATCAGGAAGTTGTAGCATCCATGTGACTAGCTTGATGAGACCTACGCCTTAAAGCCAGTGGTTGTTTGTTCCTTATGCTGACAGATTTACATAGCCTAGAAATCTAGACAAACCGTAGCAGCAGCAGAACATTCTGCTCTGCGGGACAGTCTAACCACACTCCCATGCAGCCTAGCAGGTCTACCACTGGCTCAAACCATTTTAGATCAGGCCAGTCACAGCGTTCTATGTTTGTAGAGAGATATTGGGCAGGCTTCGCACCAGAGCTGTGACGGTGAAAAACTACAAAGATGGCATCAGCTCAGGAACGGCGCTCATTTCAAACAGCTTTGGCATCAACTTTGAATGATTTAGACTTGGGCTTTTCTTTAAGACATGAGCATAGAGCGGTGCTTAAGTCGTTTGTTTAGAAAGAGGACGTGTTTACTTCTGGTTTGGCGGTGTATGGCGGGCTGCCCCATTGACTGAGATCCACAGCGATGAGTATGTCATGTTGTGTGTTGCTCTGATTGGTCCTAGCGCTGTCCATTTGTGTGCGCTGACAGTTTGAAAGGCATCCATAGGTTTTGCCCCACAACTAAGCTTTGTCTATGGGTTGTTGCCCGACTATTTACATATAAGCTGGTTTCCTATAGGCTAAGATTTACAGTGAATGTGTTCAAACTCATGATTGCACTGTGTGTTTTAAATGATCTTGTAGTTTTCCTTTAGATAATCAAGAATGTACAAAAATTAGATGGTTTCATGACGCTTTCATAGATTTATTTAGGTGTTCATAATAATTTTGTGATGTTGACACATCATCTTTTGATGCTTTCCCAAACTTTTCAGATCCAGACCCACAAAATATCCGTTATCAACACGCAGACACATGGGCCCAGATGTTTCCGATTTGACAAAACAAGCATCTTAAAAGCTAGCTAAAGAATGTTCACTCATATCCATTTATGATGGTTTAACTGAGTTTTTATAACAGTTATTCTTTCAGTGATTATCAGTTTTGTTTTGATTTCTGGGAATCATCTCAAGACCCTTTTGAGTGGTTCTTGGTGACCTACAGTGGGGTCCCGATCCCAGCTTTGGGACATACTGCCTAATTAGGCTTTGTGTCGACTTTAGATTGAGATATTTCTTTTCTCGTTGTACTAAATAAGCTGATCTGTCAGATCCTTGTGTATTTGTCTAAGAGGAGCTCAAATATCCATGCGTGCAAATGCATCTTCTGCTTCCACGAAGTTACATGTGATCCTCGTGTTGTCCTGTCTGGGTTTGGAAAACCAGTCCAGCAGGACTGAGAGTGTACACCATTCAAAGAGCAATGTTTAATTGGAAGTACTGAGGAAAGGTACATGTTAGCAGTGGCTAGTGCTGTTTTTGTGCTGCTTGTTTTAAACTAGACTGCAGTTTAGGATGAATAAGAGTCAAACTTTTTGTTTTCATGTTTATGTGGTTTATCAGGTCACAAATTTAGCTAGTGACACCTGCTAGAATTTAGATTTATTTATTGTACTTTTTAGCCTACCCTTGTACTTTGGGGTCATGTGATGTGTGAGACGACTTTATCATTTTAAAAACCTCCCCAAAACAACGGTAACTCGTCATTTCTTAACTCATGACACCTGCATTAATCCCTCTGTGTGTGTGTGTGTGTGTGTGTGTGTGTGTGTGTGTGTGTGTGTGTGTGTGTGTGTGTGTGTGTGTGTGTGTGTGTGTGTGTGTGTGTGTGTGTGTGTTAGGCATGAATCAGCGGAATGGCACTGACGTGGATGCAGCCAACGCATCCAAAGTGTTTTCTAAGCTGGGATATAAAGTGAAGGTCTACAACGATCAGACAGTCGGTCAGATAGTTCAGGTTCTGACTGCAGGTAACCACGATGCACCAGTCCCATCATTCCAACACATATTTGCATCTTCCAAAAGTGAGACACCATCTTTGAAGTGTGAAGTTCATGCATAGTTCCAAAATTTTTCTTTGTCTTTTTTAGTGTCTAAGGAAGATCACAGCAAATCAGCCTCCTTTGTCTGCGTCCTCCTGAGTCATGGAGATGAAGGCGTGTTTTTCGGCACGGATGACTCCGTAGAGCTAAAGCACTTAACGTCTATTTTTCGAGGCGATTGTTGTAAAACTCTGGTGGGAAAACCAAAACTTTTCTTTATTCAGGTACGATATATTTTTTTCATCTGTCCACACCATCTTTATTTGCTAAGTATCTAACCCCTAAAAACATTTGAACGGTGTAGGCATGCAGAGGCACCGATCTGGATGAAGGTATTGAGTCAGACAGTCCAGGAGGAACCACTAAGATCCCTGTGGAAGCAGACTTCCTGTATGCCTACTCCACAGCTCCAGGTTAAACCCTTACCACGGATTTTTTTGTATAATAATTATTTTACCGTCTTGGTTTAATCCCTAATGTGTCGTTCATGTGCAGGTTACTACTCCTGGAGGAACACGACGACCGGCTCCTGGTTTATCCAGTCACTGTGTGAAATGATCAGCATGTATGGGAAACAGCTGGAGCTGCAGCACATCATGACGCGTGTCAACCACAAGGTGGCGGTGGAGTTCGAGTCTGTCTCCTATTCACCAGGCTTTCATGCAAAGAAGCAAATCCCTTGCGTTGTGTCAATGCTGACCAAAGAGATGTATTTCTTCTAAGCTGTGATGGGGGAAAAAAAAAAATCAAATTTCTTGGGATCAAAAAGTGATGCAACATCTTAGTTTCATCTGCCTGGCTTGGCATTATTAGTTTCTCACTCTGTGGACTAGTTCTAAAGGAATTCACCTTTTTGCATCACAGCAGCCTGTTTTGTTATTTGTACACAACCTTAAAAAGGTTGTTTTTTAAAGCAGTTTCAGTGCTAAATGAAGTCCTATAAAGGATCTGGGTACGTGTTTCTCTGATGGGCTTTGTGAGGTCACACTCGTCGTTTTGGTCAAAATAAACTACACATTTCAGGGAAATATTTTATTTGTGTAATCATGGAGCCATGAGTGGAGTTGTAGGCTGTGTGTGAGCAGTGTGATGGTTTAATGAGGGAATTATGTGTCTTTTTTGTTTTTATGCATGTTCTTGTTTTCTCCACTTTTGTTTCAGATTGTGCAAAAAAACGTATAATCATTCATTTACTGATGGTCGTGTAAAGCAAATGTAAACGCCTGTGAACTCAGGAGCATCCATTTGAACTGTGTTGTGATTTTTAGGTGCTAAACCTCAGAAATGCTTATGTTTCTGAATGTGGATTTTTTTTTTATTCACTGATGAATAGGAACACAAGTGTAAAAGATCCATAAATACTTTTTATTCCTTTGAGAGATGGTTAGACTATGTTCTTTATTAATGTTTAAAAGTGAATAATTGGCTGGGTTGACCTCGGGAGAAAAATGGATCATTAGAAGTAGTTTTTGTGTATTGCCCCACAAGGGGGAGGCAAAAATAAAGTTCCCCCAAAACACAAAAATTACCAAGCTGTCATTTTTTAATTTCATATTTTACTTAGTTTTTCCCACTCTAAAAAACAAAACAAAATAAAGTTAGGATGCGTCTTTTTAAAACTCAGTTTTAAGCATGCTAGAGGAACCCTGGAGTTGAAATGTTTTTGATAAATCAACTTTTACCTTCCATTTTTCTCAGGTGAGAGTTTTGGCACCATTTTCTCATAATCTGTGTCAATTTTCACAACAAAGTTTCAACAAGCTGTATTTTTAAAAACCGGTGACGGACATTCCCAAGTGAAATAGCTTTCTCTAAACATCTTTCTTACATTTGTTTAGGAAGAAAACGTTTTATAAGAAGCCATGTTGTGAACTTAGTACTTTTTCTTTGTGAAATAAAAAGCATTTTAGCTGTGTTTGAGAGTCTATTGTCTTCTTTTTTATTAAGAGATATCCTTAATGTCTACAACAGGTTTAAGTTTGTAGAGGATAAAGTATGGCTGGAGCAAACTGGTCCTCAGCACTTAAGGGTCAAAACGAACCAAACTGACGTTTCAACAGATAGAGTTACAGCTCACTGTTTTCTGAGATATAAAGATATATATATATATATATATATACACACACACAGGTGTTGGCTGGTCAATTAAACAAAAACGTGTTCATTAGTCAAACATGCAGGTGGAGGAGCCAAGTTAATACATTACCAATGAGTGACAAAAATGACACAGTTCGTAATTAGCTCATTGATAGTAAAACATCCACCCATATCATAAGCAACACATAGAGTCAGATTAAAAACAAATACAATAGAGATAAATAGCAGTGTACAACAAACACTAATGAAAATGCAACAACCCTTTATAGTAAAGACAGGCTCAGTCCATCATTAAGTCCATGTGGTTATACAGTGTTAAGGGTGTAGATCCAGAAAGCTTCTCTACATAAAAGGTGGTTAATAATATTACCAGCTCTAGAGGGAAGGGTTTGGGGCAAGGCTGGATTATAATATGGCCAAAGTGGGCACAGGCCCAGGGGCCCATAGCCACAATGGGGCCCAGGCAAGCAGCAGTCTTATTTATTTATTTATTGTGTAGCAGTCTTAACGTTGGAGAAAAATGTTGAGAAGTAATTAAAATTGCGCCCACATTTTCAAAGTTAAACACATTTCTTTTAACAACGGTAGTTTCTGCTTCAGCCCTCTCCCCCCTCCCCCTCCCTCTCCCCCCTCCCCCTGCACAGCGGCCACAAACTCACCGATGCGCCTGCAGCCTCTCAGAGTTCCTGCTGCTCTAAACATTAAAATAATTATTTCATTTTCTGTTCCTCACTTCTGATGACCTTCAATGGTGTCTGTTTGTTGCAACCACCAGGTACAAAAACTAACTTGTTTTAATTTCACTATTTTTCTGTCCTGCCTGTTTATTATCTTCCTGCATCTCCTCTCAATCCTAAAGAAAAACTGCTACCTGGGTTCATATATATTCACCTCATGAGTTACCTTTGAACTGCAGTTCTAAAAGATCTACCGACCGCAAAAACAGCGGAGAGCGTGCTGACCGCACTGAGGTGAAATCACTGGAGGACGAAACAGGTTATCCGCTCAGCAGCAGTAAAACGCATCAGGCACAAATAAAAGACAGAAAACATGAAAGGATATGAGCCGACATAAACGATTGCATGTTAAATTTTTTTTGAGGTGGCAACACTTAGAGAATGTTACTGCGGCCGTGCTCAGGACACATCTGTCTGGAGCGCGTCAGCCATCAGAGCTCTTCACTACATAATCCCAGCAGAGTCCACATGAATAATGTAATATTAATAGAACCATGATCGTTTACGGGCTAAAAAATAGTCTACAGTCCATCGTCCCTAATGTGTTTGTGGCCCTGCGGATTTTTCTAACTCTACCTGCACTTCTTATATGTAGCCTACCTCTCAACGTAGGACTCTTTCATAAGGGTAGCCTACCGCACCGTCAGCCCAGACAAGAGCAAAGCAAATAGACAGAATAGAGGATAATTCTGTCTGGATGTGGATGGAGATTACATTTTACAGCAGCCTGATCATCATTTAAATACGTAAACCATCACCTGTCTTCTGGTCCATGCTATCACCATTATTTTAATTGGTGCGTTTGTGTGTGTGTGTGTTTTCCACTTCAAACACTGGTCTAACCAACCAGACCAGCGTGTCCAGTAACACATTAATGTTACAATGAAACAGTTTCACTTCATGTAGGCTAGGAACATTTCACCTGCCGTAGCCCGACCGCTTCTGCTCCACATAAACTTTGTGCGTGATCAAATGTCTCTACGCGTCATGCGTCTCCATATTAGAGACGGGAACAAGCGCTGTTCAGCCAAAGTTTCATAATCAGAGAACATTTTTCCAAGTGACACATCCCTCAGAGAGACCGGCTTTCCAGACCGCTTCAGTGGGAGGAAATCTTACAGCATCGCCATGGTTCTGCACTGCGCTGCGAACCCCTCTACAGATCTTCAGCCCACTGCCCACCATTTGCGCTGCGAGCTGCACTGAGCACAGTGTCCAGTATAGGCGGAGATCCCAGGGGACACAAAGTTGTCCCCCCCACAAAAGTTATTGTAAACACATAAATACCATCAGTAAACCTGTATTGTCTTCTAAAACCACAACGTAAAAGTTAGTCTGCAAATACAAAACAATGTGTTTCTAATTGTTGAGAAATTATAGCCCCCCCCCCCCCCATTCCTCAAGTTGGTACGGTTTCCAATGAGCGGGGCTAACGGCTCTGCCCCGCTCACACCTTCACTGCAGCCCGCAGGCTCACGGGAGTCGGGAATCAAAAAGCCAACAGTTTCCAGCAGTAAGTCAATAATCACACGCTTGTTCTACAAACTTAAATATGTATGTCAAATGGTCATAAATGTCAAACATAGACACCGTTCATCTTTAGATTTTGATCACCGGTCGGAGATCCCTTTATGACAGACCACCACCATCACAGTAAAAAAAGTTGTCACTTCATGTTCTCTGGTCATTCCAGGATTATTCCGCTATTATTATTCCATTCACTAAGGTGATCAAAAGTTCCTTTTTCCAGACACGTACGCTTTCACGGTCTTCCCCTGGAATCTGCGGAGCATTATAGATCGATGCAAATGTCCGCGTTTCATCCTGTTTACCAGATGAATATGGTAAAATCAAAGCTAACTGGTCCGATGTATGGAAAACCACAGCGTTTAACCGCTCTTATCCCGTCTTCCCCAGGCTCTGCAGTTGTTTACAATATGTCAAAGTGCAGGTGCACCTTGCAGCTTAGGGATGAACTGGTAGCAGCAAATGTGTGGTGGAGGCACGTTGCTCAAAGCTCTCAGTGTAAAACATAGAGCCAAAGATCCCGTTGGCCACACAGACCCAAAAGAGAGATCAATTAAATTGAAAGATAAACTATAGAGTATGTATATGTTTAGTGTATTTGTAAAGTAAATGTTTTTAATTTTTATTATTAAAATGAAACAAATATTTCAAGAATACATTTTTAGATTTTGTGTATCTTTTCGTTCAGTAGGAATTAGATAAAGTTATTAAATATTACAGAGTTATTCTCTAATAGCCTACAAACATTTCTATGATTTATTAAAGAGATTTCAGTCATTTTGATACTTGACTTGTGAAAGCTGATTGAAGTTTGTTATTTTTTCTAGACATATTTAGAAGGAAAGTTTCAAATATATTAAAATCAATATGGAACTATTTGGATTTTAGTAGCTTTCATGTTATGTGATTTAATAAAAATTTAATTTGACATTTATGTTCTCTCTCTTTGTTGTGAGAAAGTTAGATATGTTTTAGTACTTAAAATTAATGCTTTGCATCCGTCCACACGTGTAGCTGCTGGTCAGCTAATAGCCGTGTCATTTCAGGACATGTTGCTTCAACTATTAACGATCTACTTTTAAATCTTTATTCTGAATTGCTTATTCCGTTTTAGGCCAGAGTCTTGTTATTGAAATGAAAACAAAAAGAAAGGATGCTTATGGAGATGTACAAAATTGGCAAGATATTATTGTTGATCAATATCCTCCAGCTCCGTTCTAATGACAATATCCCATCTGTGTGTGTGTTGCTGTCCACAACTGTCAGCAGACCAGGTCAGTTGAAATGGCAGAGAAACGAAAAACAGCAGACATCAGGTCATTTTTTAATGCTCCAGAATGTCAAGTAAGTAGAAACTTGCATTTTGATAAAGACCTCTATAAGAAAGAAATGAAATTGTTTCTAAATGGTTTAATTAGGCAAAGTTCAGTCACTTGAGCGCAGGCAGCCAGAGCCTGTCAGACACAGGCACAGTCTCAGGTCAGTCTCTTATAAGGACATACAGTGTTATATGTAGAGAGCTTTTTTTTTCATGTCCCCCCAAAAAAATTACTCTCTGAAGTTTTACTGTTTATTGTCCCCCCCAAAATTGAAATGGGATTTCCGCCCTTGGTGTCCTGTGTAAAGCTCTGATGTTCTGATGGGAATCATTTCTTGATTTAGTTACCTCTGCGATGTGCGTAAATGTCAGCTCATCCATGCGCATCAGTGTGCGTCGGGGTAATTCTTTCAAAACAACCAACATCCTTGAGTTTATCCGTCAAAATAAACAGTCAATGGAAATATCTGTAACCTGCCATTTAACTGTTTTACCTTCTTGTGAAGATTGTTGCAAAGAGAAACAACTAAACTTGATTAACCCCAGAGCCGTGCGCACTGCGCTGTACTGACTGTAAATGAGGGGGACAACGATTTAATCGGATCCTTCTCTTACCTTTTCAACATGGTTTAATGTAAAGTTTCATTCAGTACAAACTTTAGTTACACCAGTCTAACGAGACAGAGCCTGGATTTGTATTCTGAACAGTTTAAACATGTTTAAAACGGAGACATGCGTGACACGTCTAAAGTTTGCACCTGCTCCGCTATTATGGAAATTAAACTAACAAGATGAATAACATAATTATTTTAGGCACAGACAACATCCCCCACACTTTTGAAAAGCTTGCAACGCGCCTGTCCCCAGTTACAAATTGTGAAGAGGAACGATTTTCACAAATGGCAAGAATAAAAAATGAACTGAGAACAACACAAACTCAACAGCGCCTCAGTGCACTGTCACTGATGGCTATTGAATCTCAGCTTGTCAGGAATCTGGACTTTGATGACATTGTAAATGAATTTACTAATAGAAATATGGCGTCAGAGGCGTGCCACAACCCGTGCACACGATGGCGTCAGAGCCGTGCCACAACCCGTGCACGCGGATTGGGTCCACATCGCGAGTGTGAACGGGACTCGCGAGTGAAAATATACATGGCGAGAGGTCATTTGTGCACTGAGAGGGAGCAAACTGTGTCTGTGAGCGCACAAGGACGTGCACAAGTGACAAACC